AAGACTGGCAGCTGTAATAACTGTGAAAGGTGCTACCACCAAGTGCTCATTCAAGGGGCGTGAATACTTGTGCCAAATAAATATTTCTTTGCGGTTTGACAGACAGTTCACTTCCTTTGCACATAACAAGGTTCAGTTTGACCATTCATCCATAGGAATATTGACTTAAAAATAACACATATCCCATTTCTAATTGAGCAAAGTGTGAAATCCTTGGAAGAGTGTGAATATTTTAGCAAGGCGCTATAGTAATGAAGACTTTTTTCTGGTCAGAGTGACACTAGCTGATGGATCCAAGTGGCTGGTTCACAAAGGGGATGGCTATGGGATAAGCTCACAGACTGTAGTGGTGGATGCTCGCCATATGAGTTCTAAATGGGAAGTAAGTATTTACAACAGTTTAGTTCATTTAACATTTGTACGTGGAGTTCTGAAAATCTTTACACTGAATTTTTTTCAGAAGACATAATGGAAGGTAGATGTGAGCCTATGAATCATTTACTTGTTTTACAGTACATTGTGCATCTAATCTTTTATTAGAATGCATTGATTGTGGGGCTGTATAAGGTTTTACAGAACTGATTAATATTTTCAATGGGAATATAATATTAGAGGTGTGATTGGGAACTGAGCTCTGTTATTGTTCAATTGGAAGAGAAGCTTTGTATAAATCTGCTACTAAAGTGGGTGCTTTTTCAAATCCAACAAAGGAGAAGCTAATTTAAAAATGTGACACTATCAACCAGGCCTCTTTGATCATTTTCCGTGAATTTCAGATCATCGAGACAAAGAATTTCCAAGGATCAAAAACGGTCAGTGACTTCGTGAAAGCTGGAGGCCCTGGCTACAAGCTTCTCTTTGACAACTGCCACTTCGGATCTGGAAGAATGATGGACCAATAGAAAATGGCCTAACGTCACACAGAAATTCCCATTCTAATTTCTACAATACAGTACATGTATTTCACTTTTGTTGGCAATAATTCATTTTATGTCCATGCTTCAGTCACAGTAGGCTTTCTTCAATGCAAGTAAATGAATGATCTAATGTTAAAAAACAGCCACCTTTAAATGTAATTTTACGCTTTGTTATATATTTCAAGTAACTAATAGTTATTGGAAGTGTTCACACAATGTAATAAAGTATAATATACTTATATACTTAGTACTTGGATATGGAATTGACTATGTACTTTTTTGTCCTTTTTCCAACAGACAACACCACACAATACAGACAACAAGAACAATAAATAAATATGTAGCAGTGAGACCAAAACAAATGGTAGAGTATGTAAAAAGTGCGTAGTGCAGATGTGTATTAAGGCATGGCAGTTAGCTGTTGAAGACGCGTGCCGCAGTGGGATAGAAGCTGTTCTTGAGTCTAGTGGTCCTTGCTTTAACAGTGCGGTACCACTTGCCACAGTGCAGGGAGGAGAACAGTCTGTGACCAGGATGGTTGGGATCCCAAATGATGGATTGGGCTTTATTGCAACAGCGGATGGTGTGGATCTCACCGATTGATGGCAAATCACATCCTATAATCCTCTGTGCCATTGCCACAATCCTTTGTAGTGCATCTCTTTCATGCATTGTAGTATTGCTGTTCCACACAGTGATGCCAGTAGTGAGGACACTTTTTATGGTGCTGGACACTGCAGTAAGAGTTCAAGAGGAACTGCTTCCTCATACTGCATTTCTTTAAGTACCGCAGAACGTGCAAGCACTGTTGTGCCTTTTTCAGATTCGCTACAGTGTTGCGAGTCCAAGCCAAGCTGGTGGAGATCTGCAGTCCAAGGAACCAGAAGCAGATGACAGATTCCACTGCTGTGCCATTGATGCTGATTGGGGGCGTGACTCCCCCTGGGTCTCCTGAAGCCCACAATGAGTTCTTTTGTCTTGTTGACAGGGCCAGATTGTTGTCAAGGCACCATTTTGTAAGATACTCCACCTCACTCCTGTGCGCGGACTCATCGTTGTTGTTGATCAGCCCAATAACAGTGGTGTCATCTGCAAACGTAATGATGTGGTTGCTGCTGTAAGTGGCTGTACAATCATAGGTGAACAAGGCGTATAGCTTAGGACTGAGACAGAGCGCTCAGACACTTCAAACTGAGCATCCAGGCAAGAAAGAAACTGGTTAGGGATACCTAATGATAACTTTGAAAGAGGTACAGAGTTCAGCAAGGTAGGAGAAAATGGACGTGGCTCAGCAATATCCTGGCCACTCCACAAAAGAGGCTTGTTTAAAACTGAAAACAACATCTTAAATCCCACAAGGAGTTTGCACCAAAGCACGTATGAGATACTGAAAACATGTAGCAAAAGGTTTTGTAGTCATACAAGACAAAATTATAACTTTATGGTATAAATGCCAAGGGTTATATCTGACACAAACCCACCGTAGAACATTACTCAGTCAACACCATCCCTACAGTACTTTTAATCATGGTGGTGACAGCAGTATGTTGTGATTCTGGTTCTTAGAAGAACCAGAAGAATAGAGAAGCTTGACAAGACTGATGAGAACATGAGATGAAGCAAAGTACAGGTCATTAATGAAAAATCTGTCTCAGATCTAAAACAGGGACAGAAAGTCACCTTTCTGCAGGACAAAGACCCAAAACACAAAGCCGGAGCTACAGCAGAGTGGCTTAAGAATAAGAAAGTGACTATCCTTGGGTATCCTGGGTGGCCTAAGTCATGTGTCCCTGAACAACCTGTCCAAGCTAATAAACTTGGAGGTTCTCCACTTGTTGGCAATTTGGCAGTCTCTGCTAATCTGTCAGGCATTATTGACTTCAGAAAGCCAGGCTTGTAAAATACTGGAGAGAATTGCCATTCCGAGAATTAATTTTATGTGAGAAAAAATGCCATTAAGTACATAAAGTGTTTTTGTATTTTTTTCTGTAAAGAATCAATTTTTTGGTAATTAAATTTACATTGTGTTGCCATGAATGTAAGCAAAGAATAATGATAAAGCATTTGTTAAAAAGATTAAGAAAACATGTCTTCATTTCAAATTCTCCAAAACAGTTTGTTGTGGACAAATTCATTTTCTTTTATTATTTAGTCTGTTATATAACACATTGGTTTCTTGACAATCACATATTCTAGCATAAAATGATAATGAACGACTGACAATTCCTTTTTTGTTACAGTTTTTGTTACACCTAGTGCCTTTCGTTTCATCACAGAACTCATAATGCTTTCCATGCTTCATTGTTTTCATTCTTTAAAGAGAATTACATTGTGTAACCCTTAATATATACTGAGCTTAATAATGTTATGTTCACTACAGTGCAGCATGGGGGAAAGAACTGATCACATTCAGCACTACCATACCACAAACCAAATTTTATTTATTTAACTCCTTAAAAATGGCATGTCAGATCTCACATCTGGTGAGCCGTGTCCATTACGTGTGAGAAAGTCACCTTTCCTTGCCTTCCACCCATCCATTTTGTAACTGTTTATCCAATGTAGGGGGTGCCATAGCCTACCGTGGCAAAAAATGGGCACAAGGCTAGGATAAGGATATGCCTTGGATGAGCGCCTGTCCATCGCAGGGAAGACATCCATTCACATCAGAGCCAATTAACCTACCAGTATGTCTTTGGCCTGTGGGAGGAAACATGAACACAGCAATCTGCATATAAAGAGCAGCCCAGGCCCAGACCTGAATTCAGGTTCACCAACGTGCAGCCCACTTATCTGAATATTTTTAAATGATAAGACAACCAATTGGCAAACAATTGTGTGTTATGTATCTGGAAAAAGATCTTTTTTACCCTTCTTTGTACATAAATACCACCAGGAAGATCACACTTGCAGACACTCGTGTCAGGGCTCTGCATGTGCTTTTTAACTATAGTTACTGCTGTCTGGAAGTCACAGTCATCACAGCACTAAACCATGCGTGGCTTCTGTATTTAGGAAAATCATACAATTCACAACTGTTGGGTTTTCTCAAAGAGAGGACAGGGTTAAAAATAAACCCGAATGAAAAAATGAATTAATCCAGCAGAGGATGGTCAGCTATAGGTATATATATATATCCTATAGGTATTTTAATGCTACGTTAGGACACCAAATAAAAACAAAAATGAGGGACTGGAGGCGTTCCTGACTTAATTAAGAAGTAAGTCACAATGTGCCACAGGAGAAGAATCTCCTTGCATTGTTAAGACTCGAGGTTGGCCAAACATACCATGCAGCAAAAGTAACATTTTAGGATTGCGAAAAACATTAGGAAACGTAAATAATACCTAACAAATCATATTTACAATAATGTGTAACAACTGAAAACATAACACGAATACATCCATAAACATTCTTTCGTTTATTGTGTCTGGCGGTGGAAATGATTCCCTTCCACATCATAAACTCGACTCGCAAGACCCATGCATCATTAACAAGCTATTTCCAGAAGCACTAGACAGACTAAACAAATGTTCTGACATATACATGGTGTTTGGCGGTATGCTATTTGGGATTGTAATCACAGTATTGCTGAGGCCAAATAAAACTGCGTAAATCTTAAATATCGAAAGTTAGCAAATACTTTTTAAATTTGTTTTTATTAAACGTATAAAAAAATTACGAACACGACTATAACCAGAGGATCAAAAACAGGTACAAGAGAAAAAAAAACATTTAACCGCCAGAGGTAATGAAGTAAATTATGTGATCGAATTGTATTTTTTACATACATCACATGCTTTCTTTGCTTTATTATTTCTCAATTTTTTATAGAATTTAAATTGTGTTTCATCTCCACCTCAAAAGAACTAAAAAGGGGAGTATTATTAGACCATTTTGATTTATGGATGTGAAATTTACCAAGAAGGACTAATAAATAAAAAGTTAGCAAATGCTGATGCTACACCTACGAGACACACGCACAGTATTTCGGTGATCCGCGAATCCCAGATCACGTGACCACCATGGCTGCCTCCTGCATGGCTTCGCGTCGCTGGGGTCACGTACGTGCTGACGCCGCAATGTTTGGGTTAGGGAGAGGGTTAAAGTATCAGAGAGCAGAAGAATGGAGAGAAGGCTGAGTTTTTAAAATAACCCATTTTCCATGTTTTCCAAAGGTAAAGCTGTACACTGTTTAGTAGGTGTACTGTACGTTTTAAGAAGAAACACATAGCCAACGAATAATTGAAACGAAATACTGTTGTAACGAGTTAAAGTAATCGGTTTTGGAAACGCTTGGGCCCACTATTTCTGGAATTCTTTGAACTGTTAATTTTTCTAAGTTTGTATTATGTGCATTTTTGATTGACATTGATGACAGCGTTACTCTGGCTGCAAGCATACATTTCAAATCTCGTATGTTATGGTTGGGTAGCACGTCGTAGAGAAATGCAGCTTTCCTTGCACTTTAAACAACGAATTAAAACAGTTTTGTAGTCGAGTGATATCTGGGATTTGCAGATGATAGATGTTCATAGACTTAGTAAAAATCACAAATAAAAAAACTACTTTGAAAAACCAGTAACGGTTGACGATGGCTGAAGTTACTCTTAACCATTTGAATGCTGTTAAAAGAGCTAAAAATGCCAAAACCTTAAACGTGACTGTTAATTTGTTTAAAAGGAAAATGGAAAGCCAGCTGAATTTAAGCAAGTGCTTCATATGTATACCTTGCAGTGATACTCTGAACTCCTTTTGCGAGTGTTTCTGGACTGTATTAACGGATTAACAGTGAGGTTAAAAATAGTTGAAGTTAACAAAGCAGTCTGAACACGTCGGAAACAAAGGTCCATTTGTTATGTGGACGGGGATTTCTCCTGTTGTAACCTTGCTTGGTCTTCGGACCGCAGTGAAACGGTTAAACTTGTTCACACAAGTCTTTTTTGGGGGGGATCTTCCTTTAGATCACAGTAAACATAAAAAGAGGGGCTAGTGCGAGAGAAAATGCGTTTAAAAAAGCCATAGGTGCTGGACAAACCAGGTGTCCTCGCCTTTTTCCAGTGCTTTCAGGTAACTGCACTTTTGGCAGTCAGTTGACCACCTTGTGTCGTCTGCAGGCGTAAATACAAGACTTCTGGAAAGGCAAAAGGAAGGTTGAAGATGAGCAAGAGGCCTCCGAGTCGTCCAGGAATTACCTTTGAGGTTGGTGCTCGGGTTGAAGCGCAAGACTACCTGCAGAAATGGTAAGCAAGTTCCGTAATATTCATTTATAGAATGATTATTTCATTCTGTAGTCATTTAGTTGTATAGGACCTTTACGTACAACCCATTTTACAGAACATTGGACGTAGCTTATATGCACAGTTCATCGTGGGCAGTCCTGTCTGGGTGTTTGTGTATTTTTAACGTTTGTGACCATCCATTTTCTTACTACTTTATTCAGTTCAGGGTCATGGAGGAGTTGAAGCCTGACCAGGCAAGCAACCGGCTTAAGGTCAGATACACCCTGGACAAGACGCCAGTCTAACGCAGGGCAGGCATAGACATGCACACACTCACACCAGGGCCAGTTTTTGCAGAGGTCTGTTAACCTACCAGCATGTCCGTGGACTATGGGAAGGAACTGGAGGACTCGGAGGAAACCCACAAGAACATAGGGAGAACCTACTAACTCTTCACTGATTGTAGCACAGGAATTGAAGCCAGGGCTTAAGCACTGCAAGGCAGCGATGCTAACTACCAAGCTACGGTGCGGCCTTGTTTGCGAGCATTTATTTTAAATGATTTTCCATGACAGAAAATCAGCATCCTGCTTCTCAGGGGAGTGAGGACGTGATAAAGGGGTAACTGCAGTCCCAAATCCTCAGACTGGTTATGAAATCTCAGGAGCAAAATACATTCTTTGACGGTAAATGTTGAGCACAAAATCGTGAACTTTGCAAAAAATGCTGTAAGTCGCCATGTTGTCTCAAACCGCTGGCGGGGGGCAAGAGTCCCCACAAATTGAGACATCATGCAGCCCTTCCTGCTCACTAGTCACTATCATAACTAATGTAATGTAATATCAGAGCAAATTACGTACAGGTTGTGTAGCAGGTATTTCACCGCAGAAATTTTCCTACATGATCCACGTGCAAAGTTAACAAGTAAGTTCCGTTTATCTGCAAAACCGTTTCGAAGTTGAGAGTGATGTTTCTATTGGATTAAAAGAGATGTATTCCTAAGCCTGCTTGTTTACAATGTCCTAGGGCTGCTTCACGTCACTGGAAGTTTTGTTGCCTCATTCTAAATTGCAGAACATGATGCTGCACACACCTTGAAATTTTGTCTATTTTGTGATGTAAATTGAAGGTTTTACAAGTTACTCTGTACATTCTACTTTTATAGTGGTTAGAAGTGCAGTCATCAATGCCGATTCTTTCTAACCTCGGAATAAAAAAAATTGCGTTGCAGTTCTCCTTAAATCCCAAAAGTAAGACGGACATGGAAAGGACTCCGTGTGGGCCCAGGGAACTCTGGGGAAAAAAACAATTCTTGTTTATCTTCCATGTTTTCAAACTCTTTTCAGGTACCCTTCGCGCATTGAGAAGATTGACTATGAGGAGGGAAAGATGCTTGTCCATTTCGACCGGTGGAGCCATCGATACGACGAGTGGATCTTCTGGGACAGCACTCGGTTGCGTCCTCTGGAGAGAACAGGTCTTCGGAAAGAAGGACTGAAGGAGGAGGAAGAGATGTCTGTAAGTCTTTTTGCTCTTCTTCGTCTTTTTTTAGGAATGTTAAGCAGTTGTTTTCAAGTACAAAGCTAAACTGAATAAAACCGTCGTTTCTGACTTTGAATACTTGTATTATTTTGCTTATAAAAATGTACCACGTTAGTGAAAGCTCAAGCATGTCCATTATCCTGACTCTATGGTTTAACTTATTTAGTACAAACTGTTTTGGAAATCGGTTATAAAACATGAAAGTGTATATCTAAATTTTGTAATTTGAAAAAGATTAAACTTATTTGATTTGGCACATTACTAATTGTTCATCTATATTTTATCTATAAACGTCTTTACCAGGAGAGACTCAGCGAGATGAGAGCATCTCGCCTTCGTGAGCATCCTGGAAGTACAGAGAGCACAGAGGACCAAACAGAGTTACCGCAGTCAAGACAAGTAATATATTCCAATTGCACTCAAAGTTTTACAATTATCTGGATGTTCTAACTGCTTGTCTGACTAGTGATTAAAAAGAGTTCATAACCCCCTTACCTGATTAAACCAGCGATTTATTAGCACAAATGGGAATCATGTTGAATCATATATGTATAAAATACTGCTTTACATGTTAGGGATTGGAAAGCTGGCATTTGTCTACATATTAAGTGTGGGTGAGATGGTCTTGTTTTTAACATCTTGTTTTTTCTGTTAGTATTTACTTTTATTTTTAGTTTGTAAATGTGGTTGAACGTAAAGTTGTAGTACAAACATTTCCCTTTAAGCTTGAAAGAGGAAGTGGCTTTTTTCCTAAATGTCCTTTAAAGCACAAAATGTACACCTTTTATTAGAAAGCAATCCTGCATGTCTACTGTGTATAGTTACATATAAGAATTATTTTCCATTACATCATACAATATACAATATTTACAATACTTCAAAGACACCCATCTAAATAAATTAGGCCCCCCTAGAAAAGTTATTTAAGACACTGCAACTTTGACAAACCTTTACTGCTCATCTTTACATTAACACTTATTGGAACCCTATACAAGGTACTGTAAGCTCAGTAGATTCTCAAATGTAAGTTTTTTGGTTGGTTGTTTTGGCTTGTTTTCCCTATAGGTTTTGAGATCAGGAGAAGAGGTGTTAGCCCGATGGACAGATTGCCGTTACTACCCAGCTAAGATAGAATCAGTAAACAAAGAAGGTAAGTGTCAGGAACATGATTCGTTTTTGCCTAAAACATGTAATTCCATTGGGAGAAGAGATGAGGTGATCCCCGTATGCGATATGAATTGGTTCTATGTCCACAGATCTTTCATATATTGTAAATGAAGATGTATTTGATTCTTTTAAACAGTTTTTCCTAATTAGTTAAATGTGATGCTTATAAATGTCAATGAACTTTGGGTTTTATAATTTCAGGTACATACACAGTTCAGTTTTATGATGGTGTTATTCGGTGTGTGAAGAGGATGCATATTAAATCCATGCCTGAAGATGCAAAAGGACAGGTAAGTCAATTAGAGACAAAGTCTTAATCGTGTCAGTAAAAGACATTGATGAATGAAGAACTCTTTCACTTGAATTGTTAATGATTTGAATACAAGGTTTTGTATTTTGTAAAAATTGTAATAGTCTAATTTTTAAGTTGAATCACAATTCTATTAGTTTGTCAAATCCATGGCACTAATGCAAAGGATTTTTTATAAAGTTTGAAGTTAGCAATTTTATCTGCGTTTTGCAATGGATGTACATCTACGTTTGATTGATCTTGAATCCCTTATAAAACGGTGTACATTAAGAGGTTTTGAAACATTGAAAGTTTTTTGCTTTCTAGTTTAAATTGGACATTATTTCTGCAGTTGTGTGTACTTTAATTGACCTCCATTAAATTTGCAAAAATGTCGATTTGAACTCTGAGGCTGAGTACTGACAGATTGTACATGTGGATAGAGTGTGTTTAGAATCAAAGAGATCTAAAAAGTGAAAGACCTCTTCATGACATGGAGAGGCAGGAATGTGACATCACTGGCTTTCCTGGAAAGCTATAGAGAACTGATTAACCTATGACTGTGCATTTTCCCCTATTTTAGTCAGAGCAGAACATTGTTGAAATTAGAAACATTCTTCTTTAAAGACGATCATAGCTCCAAACCTGCTTCAGAAATATATATACCAATCCTGTAATGCCCATTGAAGGGACTAAGTAAAAATGATGACATGAAGCAGAATTTTCATGATTAGGACTTCACCAATAACTCGGCATACTAGCTAATTCTAGCTAGTGCTGCTAGCAGTCTTGCATGTATCCATTTCATAGTAACCTGCTCAGACACTTACCAGAGACTTAACAGTGTTATTCTTGTGCTATGCAGTCAAATATGCAGAACAAAAATATGCCATACTTACTAGCTGTGTGCTCGCTGTACGGTAAATTATGTATTCCTTTGGTTGGTAAGGTAGAAAATGAATTGCAAGTCTAACATATATATGCCTAATAGTATCTGAAATTATATTATTAGTAGTTAAATTCACTTGACTCTATACTATTCGACAGGTTGTAAACCCATTGAAGTCCATAAACTGAATGTAAATGTTAATTGTAAGGATACATCATGCTTGTTAGGCCAGTTGATATTTGCCATTTTAGAAATCTGTCCTGTGTTAGGGTACCCTAGTGTTATATTTCATTTTTCCTTCTTTTTCAGAAGGTAACAGGCAGCAGGGAATTTCTGAATTTTATGTGAAGGAGATGCACAAAGTGAAGGCAGGATACAATTGCTGACGTCTTCTAAACCCCTGCAGCAGTCTCAGGCACCCCCAGACAATGAACACCCCCAGATCCGTCCTCAAATCTCCATTTGTTCTCTAGGATGTGGTCATTGTTTGTTCCTAGAAATTGTCCTTTTCATTCCTAAGAAATATTAGGAATAAAGATTTTAAGCCTCAAAAAAAGAACATGCCATCCTTAAATAATATCAGACTGTAGGCCTATCTGTTTTATGTTCTCTTTAATATTATTACTTTTTATTTATCTCATTTCCTTAATGAATGAGACATAGGGACATTAGAATTATTTTAGTCATTTATGGTATCTTACTCCTAAACTTTGTAAGCTGTAAAAAAGCTGGAACAGCAGATATTTAAAGTTATCCTTAGCTAGTGACAACTTTTTAACACAATCATTAGGCTGGAATATGTTTCATGCTCAGATGGGATAATTTCACCACAGATATTTGTTTACTAAATTAGATTGTTTCATTAGATCTTTTGAAACCTGACACACTGAGATGCAGATCATATTCATCCAAACACTGCTTTAATAGCTGTTGTGTGAACATTTTACTCTTGCGTTTTGGAAGAGGACTGGATGACATTCTTTAAAAACCTGATTTTCTAAAATACTTTTGGATTGTAGGGTTAACTACCTTCTTCATGGTAGGCATTTTAACTTCCAAAGGCTTCTTTTAACCCACAATTTTCCAAACATGTTGTGCACTGCCCTTCAGGATGATAACAAATGAACTGGTTTTGTGTATACAAACCACTCAAAATGCTTACAGTATGCATTGTAGGCACTTTAAGTTGTTAAAAATGAAGCTATTTCCTTTATTTTGTAACACAGAAATGAAAAAAATATAACTTTGTCCTCTAAAATGTCTTAATTGTAGTTCATTTCATTATTCCTATTAATATAGAATAACTTTCAATATAGTAAAAACTCAAACCCTCCAAGTTTTAATTGCTCATTCTCATCCAGTCCTTTTTCAAGCTAAATTTGCCGTGGTTCCAAACCCCGAGTTTTTTTTTTTCAGTTTTTATTTGAATTGTACAGTATGTAGTTTCATAGCGCTGATAACAGATCCACTTATGTGTTATGACCACAACTATTACTGTTTCGACAGGATTGGATTGCCCTTGTAAAAGCAGCAACTGCAGCTGCAAAGAGCAAGGGAACCTACAGGCCTCGTACAAGTGCCAACAGCAATAAAGACAACAGTGACAGGAGAGCAGGGAAGGCATCCCCGAAGACAGAGGATGAAACTAATCCTGTAAATGAGGCCCAGGACGCAAAAGAGTCACAAGAGGAGCCTGATTCTACTCAGAAATTAGGTCTGACATCTTTGGTTCTTGTTTCTGTGATCGGCCTAGCCTGAATTGCACATGTTTAAAATATTTTTTCTTTTGACTTTTAGTTCTACGAAATAACATATAATTAGTAAAGTAGTGCTTCATTTTTAATATAAAATTAATGAAAAGGTCATTCTTGTGGTTTTGCTCCAGATCAGACTGCTGCATTATTTTTGTATAATGTTAAACTTTCTATTAAATGGCTTTTGGATGAATTTTCATTTTAATAAAGCTGAAATGCATGACCACTAACTTTTAACCCAGAGTGCTTTTGTCTTTTTAGGGAGGTCAAATCAGGTTAAGTTGACTTTGGATATCCGCATTTCTTTTTCATGGGTTGAACTACAGTTATAAAATCACAATCATTGAAATCAGTTACCTTTGATAAATCACACCTGATGATAACTGTTTTCCTATGAAAAAGAGATGCTAAGCTAATAGTTCTTTCCGTGTTTGTGTTTGATGCTACAGGTTAAGAGGTGATTTGTGATAAAAAAAATAAATGATCTTGAAACTTGAGCTTTATCTTGTGCACATCCAAATTAATGTTACTCCTAATTGGTAGTAAAAATGTAATAACCCCTTTCATTTTACATGAAAGAAAAAAAAAATTGATATATTACTTCAGTCCTTTTGAAGTGATTTTGTTATTGTATTTTGAATTCACACAAAGAGGAGGAGGTATTTCGTTGATGAATGTGAAGAGTCTAACATAATTTAAAATCCTTACAGAGGAGGAACAGAAGCAGACCTCAGAACAGCCTGAAACCGTGAAAACAAAGAGGAAGAAGGGTGGGCAAGGAACTTCATTCCATGCAAAGAGAGCTCGTCTCAATAAAATTACAGGTGCGGCTTAAACCGAAGCTCTTTATTTTTACAAAGGATTGTAATGATGTAGCGCCACCGTCTAGCACCCATTTTCAATATTGAATGATCACTACTAACAAGTTATAAGTTGAATTTGCTGAGATGTGTTTTTCTTTTTTTATTAATTTTATACTTGTTTAGTCTTTGGGAGGATATCAACGTAAAGCACTATGTTCAAAGGAAACATCAAAATCTCTCCATTAAAAACAGTAACAACTCAGACTTTTTAAATTCAGTGTGTGGTTTATTAATTATAAGTACTCAGAGTACTTTGGCGGCTTGTAGTATGAATTAGTTTACCTCTTCATTGAGGTCCAAGGAAGAGTCTTTAATGAGCATGTAACAAGTCGTCATGATTCAGTTTGACTTGTCTCGTAGACTTAAGGTAAGTTTCAATCCTTTGAATGCTTGAGAATGACCTTTCAAATGTGCAAGAGGAGACTGGGATTGTTAAAGGAGTTTGTTCCAGGAGGACCCAATTTGGACAGTAATATACACAATGTTTTGTTTTTCATAGATCTCTGCAGGTTTACTGTATTTTCTTTTTGCAAATATTAGCAACGTTTTCCGTGACTTGCAAACCTAGTTTATTTCTAATCTTTTTTTTAAAAGTCAAGGCTAAGTACAATAATTATTCATAATACACATAAGTAAAATGAAAGGAAAAAATGATACATTAAAAAACCTAGTAAAGCTAAAGTGAACATACTGTAGTCCCTAATGAATTTGGGAAGTTTGTGCTATACAAAAGAAAGCTCAGTCATCTGTTGTGTGAAGCATTTTGTTCAGTGAGAAAGTCTCAATCATCACATCTCAGCTGTAGTTTCTTTGACTGTACTTATGTTATAAGCATTTAAAACGGGAAGCTATATCATTCACTTTCTTATATTGTGACTCTTAATGTCACAGGTAGAACTCGCGTTTTAAATATAAGTGTTATGCTGTCACAGAATAGTTGAATCATGAAAGTTGCAGATATCTGAACAAGGCTAATAGTTTTTAATACCTTAAAGGGGAACTCTATTTTCATATTTCAGGGTTAGAAAGAATCGGCATTGATGAGTGCATTTCAAACCACGATAAAAGTACAACGTACACAGTAACTTTTAAACCCTCCAATTCACATCACAATGTAGACGTAATTTTCAAGTATTTGCAGCGCCAGATTCTGCGATTCAGAAAAAGGCAACAAAACTTCCGGTGATGTGTGCAGCCCTATGCCATTGTAAATAAGCAGGCTTCTGAATATGTCTCTTTTAATCCAATAGAATTATTGCTTTTGTTTTCTGAACAATTTTGCAGACAAATACTTAATACTAATTCTGCACGCAGATCACGTTGGAACATTTCTGTGTTGAAATGTCTGCTGCACAACCTGTGTTTCTTTGCTTGTACATCACATTACATTAGGCATTACAGAGACTAGTGAGCAGGAAGGGCTGCTTCACTTCGCAATTTGTGGGAACTTGAATGCGAGTTGCATAACTTTTTGAAAGTACTGAAAGTCACCAAGTTCATGATTTTGTGCTTATTTAATTTAAATTTGTAATTTTTTTTCTATAATTTAGATACACTATAAAATAGATACACTTGTTAGTATAGTAAGTCTAATCTTTTTTTTTTAAATGCATCTATCACTGTTTATGTATTAGATAGCCCAAGAGCCTTAAGCATGCAGTGCTTTTTTTCAGGTCTTTTAGTTTCAAAAGCCTCTAATGAAGATGAAGTAGAGTGCAAAGAAGACCAGAAAGAAGCTCCAGAGAGTTTTGAAGAGGTATGTATATTATTTTGATTACTACTTTTATGTAACTTAAATTAAAGGGAATGGTTGTTGAATAAGTTTTAGCTTTATAAGCATTAAAATTTTTGTAAAGTCTGTCTTAATCTATTCTTTTGACCTTTCATAAAACTGGCTTTAGTTTGTAAAACCTTCAGGGTGTTCTTGTATGTTAATGTTTACCATGGATGGTACTGTGGGGTTTCTTTTCAGTACAAATTATTAACAAATAAAGGGTGTGATGCATTGCATTACATAGACTGAAAAAGATAAGAGTTTTGAGTGACCATTCTTATGAGGAATCCGACAATTTTCCATGCGTTTCGTTGAATATTTCCCTAGGGAAGCTTAGCAAGTACAGAAAATGAATATAAACCTGAGGCTCAAGCCACATTGCCCACCGCAACCCAGAAAAATACTGCGTCTCCTGTGAAGTCTCGAAACAGACGGCTCAAACATGATTCTGGAGAATCTACCAGCAGCCAGAAGCATTCAGGACCTTCTTCTGTAGCCATGCCAGTTGGTGACGAGATGACGTGTGTGGCAGAATCTACACTTTCACCAAGTCCTGACCCAAGCCTCCCAGACAGCACACATTCTGGTAAGTCTGGACCATTAATCATGGTCAAACATTAAAGGAATTTTGAAAAGAGGAAACATCTCAAGCTTATTTCCATATAGATGGTAAAAGTAAATAACAACATTATTATGAATAGTGCTATTTGCTTCTGTAACCTTTTCCTAATGCTTCCCAGCAGACAGTAGCTGCTAGTATATGCTCTCTGTCTGGTCAGGTTAACATAAATTGTGGAGAAATGGGTACATAAACCCACAAACCTATGTCACCAGCTTGCCCAACCACCAAAAGCAGGAATGGCAATCTGTGCCTTAAGGACTTCATCAGTGAGCAATAAGGTTGTCGTCAGTCTACCTCATGACCAAAGTCATTCTTATGTTAATAGAGATTCCACACCACATTTTCAAACTTCCACCACCACACTGGAATTCACTTATCCCAATGTCTCCAGACACTGTATTCTTTCATTCTCTCTCTACCACCACCTAAAATGTGCTCTAACTCAGAGAAGGTGCGGATTTCATCTTTCTGCTGTCAGCATTGCCCTTGAAAGCTTTGAACATACAGATCTTTACTGTTGTTCACCTCACTTGCAGACCTTCTTTTCCTGGAATTTTCCTGGAAGCAGTAGGTACTGTACTCTGAAGCTGAATATGCAGATGAATGAGATGTGTGTGACTGTCCTAAGCCAGTGTGGTCTGGTCCTCACAGATATTTCTGGAAGCAGGATGTATCATTTTCTGGATAATTTTGCTTGAAGACTTGGTGCCATAAATCATATCAGTAGCATAAATGAGATCTTTATTATACAATACTTTTTTGTGTCTTTCACTGGTTTTGCTTTGTTCTAAGTTCCTAGTCTACTCAATTATCAATTGCTGGCATTTGACTAGTTTAGTATTTTGTTATCCCAATAAACAGCTCTACTCAATCAACAACCTATTCCATATACATTGTACACATGTATATCTGTGGAGATAATGTACTGCCTTCAATAACAAGAGGCAGAATTTTCTATCGGTTAGAAAGTACTAAAATATTTTTAAGCCATATGTGATGCTTGGAAACCACACATAACGATAACTTCTTATGTAAAGTTTTTAAAGACTGAAGAAAGGTACAGGCCTCAAACTGGGGAAAAGATACCGTACCTAGCACCGTACCGGATCACAAATCATGGACATACCCCACTAATTCTGATTTTAACTCTGACGTAGTCCAGTAACTTCGGATCAAAATCATTTGGTGCAGTACCTGATGATAAGCACAACTTAGCCCTATTAAGTATTATCATTGCTAAACAGAAGCAGTTTTCATTATCATTGCTAAAATTGCTTTGACTGTAATATTTTTTATCAACAACTACAAATAAACCCTTTATTTTATTCTACTTGCAAAAATTAACAACTTTAAAATGTGAACATAAATAGATTTGAGGTAAAATAAAATGATCTCAACATTCTTAAGGTGTAAAGATGATAGGTGGAGCTATATCACTAGTTTGCCAAACCACCAAATGTCTCCCAGTCTGCAATTTTTAATAAATTCTATCTTTAATGAATGAACTTGCCCTTTAAAAAGCCTCAAGGAGGTTTTATGAAAATTAGAAAATACAAATGGTAAAAATAAATTACGACAATGAAGTGGCACCATTGCATTTGTTCTTTATTTAAAGTTTCCCATTGACCTAGACCACACCATATCATGAGTTTGCATAGTCACGGTTTTGGCTTGAGTCATTTGAAGTAAAATAAGATTTAGTGTGGGGCTGGAGAAATTTCTTTCCTCTTAAACTTCAAAGGAAAGTATTTTTCAGAGCCTCTTCATATAGATCATGCTTCCACATAAGTCCGTTTTTTTTAAAGAGAAGTTTAATCAAGTTCATTTTCTGCAGCACTCGCCACACCTCCACCTCCCAACTCACCCCGACCATCTGAGCAAAGCCAGCGACGGAGACGTTCCCAGCGTTTGGCGACTTGTACGGTCGACTCCTCCATCGAACCAGCTCAGCCCCCACCGTCAGCCTCTGAAGCGAAAGCTCTTAACCCCAAACTCCAGTCTCAGCCAGAGCCTACTTTGCCTGAGGGTATGTTCTCCAGCACTTTGTACCCCATATGCCATGAAGAGCAGGACTGCATTTAGCTTTATCTTATGTTTCCATTCCACACGTACTTATATTTAATTGATGAATTAATGTTGCTATTTTAATACCCATAACTTCTCACAGTTTTCAAGCTTTTAAATTAGAGGAATGCAATAGTCACAAATGGTCAATGATTTTTATTACTGATTTCATTTATTTTTGTCTTCTGTGTAGGTGCCCTTTAATCACAGAAAACTAACATTAATATGCCTGAAACATCTTTGTATTGTGACTTAAACGCATTTTTTACCATCGGCTTTTTTCTCTTTTGTTTTGTGTGCATTTGTTTCATTTAAATATCCGTTTCTGTTCTTAAGCATCAGGCACTACCTCTATCACTCTGGAAAAGCCTGAGGACCTTGATGACTCCTTAAGTGTGCCTCCTGTTTTGACACCTCCACCACCTGTTTCAACACCCCCAAACACAGCACCATCTCCCCCACCTAGTCTGCCTCCTGATACTGAAAAGGAACAGGGAGATCCTGGCACTGCTTCTCTGATGCAGACAGCTCTTGAAGAGAAGACGCCCTGTCCCACAGCAGGTACTGATCCTGATCAAGTCTTGTCAGGCTTGTGAAAAATGGATTGTCAATAGAATGGTGTTGAATAAATCAGCTAGTTTGTGAAATGAACTATATTAGAACTATGTGACACCTGAAGAAGGCTCTACTGCCGAAACATTATGTTTTCTCTCTTCTCTTTTTAGCATGGAATAAACCTATTACTTGTTCCTTTGCAGCCTGCGCATGCTGACGCAGCTACCCACCTGAACTGTATTAGAACTAGACATTTATTTAAAAAATCCTGATTTCCAGCAATTACCTAGAACAAAATTAAATCACATACCATGATGTTCTCAGTCATGGAGCTGTATATGTTAACAGGTGTATAATGTAATTGATTACGTGAAATTTTGATTACAAAGTTGTAAGAGCAGTAACTGATACTTTTTTCCCAACTTAGTTGTAGCTGCTGTGTTGAAGGCAGTACCCAAGATTTTGAAACCAAACAAACATGCAAGGGAGCCAAGTATGTATTTTCATTTTAGTTGCATTTAAGAATTTTTTTTTTGTTGTTGTTGATGTTGAAATATTTTATTGATTAAAGTATTGTGAGTTTCGGCAGAAATATAATAAGCTGCATTTTTGGTTTCATGTAAGTGGGAGTCTTAAGAAATTGCTTAAGTACATTTCTTGCCTGCACTGAAACATTTTAGGGACATAAGGGAAACCCTCACCTTGTGCATTCCCTTATGTAGTGCCTCATTCGGCTCATGATTTTTAGAACCTCCAACACCTCAACAAAAAGTCTTGAAAGTAACTAGGTTTTCTAGCCTTGTCCTAGCTTTTAAGAGATCTGGTCTTTATATTTCGTCTTTCCCACACAGTCTCGAATACTTTTCACCCCTTGGCGAGTTCACTTATTTAGTTTCTTATGTTTTTCCTATTGGTATTTGGATTACATCTCTTTGTAGATTCTGAATATTTAAGCTTGCAAATCACAATATGTGAAAGGCTAGTACCTTTTGTCTCAGTACTTTAGAGTTAACAGGAGCATGGAGTTTAGCAAGGAAATCCTTTTTGTTGTGCCAAGTCAAATGGTTTAGTTCTTTATATACAAACCCAAAACATTCCACGATTGCAACATAGTAGCAGACAGAAATGATAGTAGAGTGCGCACACAAGAAAGTGAAATCAGTTTGTTGAGTAAATGTAAGTTTTAAATACAGATTTGTCAATTATGTGTATGTTAATTTCTTTTTTCAACCGTTTTTTTTCTGCTATTCAGTAATAAACACCAAAAAGCCGGAAGATCCTTCCTCCCCGAAAGAGCCACTCATAGATCTAGACCACAACAAATTCAAGTGCAAGGTTCCTGGCTGTTCCAAGGCCTTCCGAAAAGCCAAGCTTTTGGACTATCATTTGAAGTATTATCACAGTGCTGATAAAGAGACGGAGTCAGAGGCCGGATCTCCTGAACGAGCTGTGCGGACTAGAGCAACGTCTGCTTCAGTCCCCACCTGCACTCCGCCAGAGAGTCATGATGCAAAGAGACGGCGAACCGTGTCATCCTCTGCGTGTATGCAAAAACAGCCCGTTGTTGCCTAACTAAATCTCGTTTGTTGTCTATTCTTCTGGTCTTTCAATCTTCTCTGCAGTAGCACTATACACTATAAGATAAGATCACTTTATTGGCCATAGACAATAGACGTATTAGGAATTTGTCTTTTCGCAATACCCCAACTTGCTCTTCATGAGACACACAGACAGAGTGGGGGTCAGAGTGCAGGGTCAGCCATTTATACGGCGCCCCTGGAGCAGTTGGGGTTAAGGGCCTTGCTCAGGGGCCCAACAGAGTAGGATTCCTCTGCCGGCCACGGGATATGAACCGGCAACCTTCCAGCCACAGAGCCACGGCACCATACTGTGAAAGTATGTGTTTAACTTGCTGCGAGTTAACCGAGATTTTTCTATGGGAACAGATATAAGCTGGAAAACTGGTTTTGCAAAAGTGCTTTTAAACTTAAGAAAAAAGTTTAAAAAACCTGACTAATAGTGGAGCTAGATCATGAAGTATAAATGCTGTGATAGAGATGTAGAATTCTGGTTTATATCCGCAGCACAACATTAATGTGATGATTGTTTTGGCTTTTTCTTTTTTGCATTTTTCAATATTTAGCCCTGTCTCCTCACACACAAGCCTTACAACTAGAATCTCCTTTGAGTACCAACGTGAAACCCCCCAAGTCCAGCAAGAAGAAGCGATCCTCCACTTCCGTCAGCTCTGAAGGTGCAGACATCCAGTTGCCATTGCCCCCCCGCGAGAGGAGTTTTGAGAACTTACATGAGAAGATACTCAAGAAAGTCATTGACAAGGACAAACACTCAGAGCCAGGTCTGTGGCACGTTTTGGTCCGTCGAATTTCCCGCAGTCGCCATTTGAGATTTTGAGACGTGAAATCCATAAAAAATGCAAACCTTGTAATTTTCTTTTTTGTGTAATTGCAGGACAAATAAAGACTGAGAAGAAAAGTAAACTTGAAGATAAGAGCCAAACAATAGGTAGGATCATATTGTTGATGAATTTGACCTCAATTGAAGTCAACATTTATAATTTATAACATGGGGAAAAAAATCAGCCTCCAGAGTGGCTTATCTCGGATTTCAGTTGGGGGTTGTGTCACTAGTCAACAGTTAACGAAGAACAACTGAGGGTGCGTTGGGATTGTCGATGAGGGCTCTCTCAGCAACCCTTGCAGCACCACTCGCTCTTGGAGTCTGGGGTGCCTGTTGTTGAGCAATTTGCCTGTCCTCCAGTTGATGCTTAACCTCCAGTTCAGGGCTGTATTGCCTGCAGTGTGTTAAAAGACCGATAGATCAATGGTGTGTGGTTTGGAGAAATCTGCCTATACTTCCTTACTTTCATCTTTGTGTGGTGATGAATCTAGTAACTGTGAGCCAGCACTCGATTTTTGGGTAACAAAATTAATTGTGGATAAAACCAAATATATACTTTAAAAATGGATAAATACTGATGGCATTTAAAATGCCATTTAAACTAATATTGTACTAAACCAGCTAAACAAAATGACAGACGACACATCTGAACTCTTTTCACTTCATGATATAGCATGGGTTATATGCTGGTAATTAGCTTTTTGTGCTGAATAAAAGCCTAACCTTTTTTTTTCCCTCGTTAAGGAAAAAAGAAAGAAAAGGACAAGGAGCGTAAAGACAAAAAGGAGAAAGATCCATTTAAAATCAAACAAAAAAAGAAGAAAAAGAAGAAAAAGAAATCGAAACAGCACAGTAAGTGGAATCGATTCATTGTTTTGTATTAGATGTTTGTAACTTTGCCCAGATGCTCATTTACCTCTTGCTCTCTCTTCAGGTTATTCAGATTATGAAGATATGTCCCTGGCCTTTTTGGAAAGATGCTCTTCTCCACCGAACCGCTCGTCTGGTAGTTCTTTTACACTGCACACCACTTCCTCATCCAAACATACGTCCTTCCAGTACCCCAGAGCCATACTTTCTGTTGACCTCACAGGAGAGAGTAAGTGTACAGTGATATTGGCCCTTTTCGAATTTAATTTTATAGGAATGTTTGTTATGTCATAAAGTCTTCAGATTGTTAAGAACTGAATGTTAATTTACTCTGTGTTCCCTTTTTTTTTCTTGCACAATCCTGTTATTTTAAATTTTTCATGAATGTAAAACAAGTGACAAATCTTTTCTAAACAAAAAGCATTTAAAATATCCTTCAAGAAAAGAGTTAATATGTTTAGAATATTTTCATATGCTTAGATAATTGTTTTTTAGGTGTCTGCATTACAAGGAAGCTACAGTAAAAGCCTTTCAAGATGTGGTACACGTGTCATCGTTCTTTTGTGTAACGGCTTGAAGGGTGTTAGCTTATTATAAAAATAATTAATAATTATAATTGCTTACACTTATATAGCGCTTTTCTGGACACTCCACTCAAAGCGCTTTACAGGTAATGGGGACTCCCCTCCACCACCACCAATGTGCAGCCCCACCTGGATGATGCGATGGCAGCCATAGTGCGCCAGAACGCTCACCACACATCAGCTCTCAGTGGGGAGGAGAGCAGAGTAAAGTAGCCAATTCATAGAGGGGGATTATTAGGAGGCCGTGATTGATAAGGGCCAATGGGAAATTTTGCCCTACTCTTTTCGAGAAACGCCCTGGGATTTTTAATGACCACAGAGAGTCAGGACCTCGGTTTTACGTCTCATCTGAAGGACGGCGCCTGTTTACAGTATAGTGCCCCCGTCACTATAGTGGGGCATTAGGACCCACATGGACCACAGGGTGAGCGCCCCCTGCTGGCCCCACTAACACCTCTAAAAAGGTTAAGTATTGATTGGGCAAGCTGTTTTACATGTCTTTTGTGAGGTAAAGTCTGGTAAATGTTTTAAGCACTCCTACATTCAGACTGAGAGTTTTCCCTTAGACCTCTCCGAGATCGATTTCTTGGAGGATTCCTCGACGGAGAGCTTGCTTCTGAGTGGAGACGAGTACAATCAGGATTTCGATTCCCTCATCATGGATGATTTCCAGGAGGAGGAGGATGCGGCCAATGAAATTGTGCGCTGCATCTGTGAAATGGATGAGGAAAATGGATTTATGATCCAGGTGTGTGAAAATGTTTTTCCCCTGGTCTCCCCACATTTCCTTCAAAGTAATTTGGAAATGTTAAGAGACCAGATATATTCAGTCATTTTTTCAATGCAAGACAAGTTCCAAAGAAAGTGGTCTGTCTGCTGATTCTGCTTTGCAGTGATTTAATCATTTTTGCATAAAAGTATTTATGTGGATAACCCACAGTTAACAGGTTCTACATAGGTAACTGATATTTTATTTACATTTTTCCTTAAGGATACTAAGTATCTTATAGTAAAACAGTTTTGAAAGACTAAAATGTGATTTATCTTTGTGTTGCAGTGTGAAGAGTGCATGTGCTGGCAACATAGCATTTGTATGGGACTGCTGGAGGACAGTATTCCTGAGCAGTACATCTGTTACATTTGTAGGGATCCACCAGGTAAGAGGACAGAATGATGCTGATCTTCATCCTCTGTACTGTTAAGAGGACCTTAGTGTTGGTTAAAATATGAGTCGCCTTGTGCAGACTTCGTCGAAGGCACACTCTACGTATGAGATGATTTCGGAATTAATTTTCAACTTATGAAGTTGTATGGCAGTATGGTGTCAAGGAAGTAGCTGTGAATATTGTTACAAATAGTAGGTTAAAGAAATTAGAAAACTACAGAAATAACTGGCATAATCAATAAGCAAAACACATAATCATAACCCCCAAATTATAAAGATAAGGCAAAGAATATACCTGAGTAGTTAGTATAAATAGAGGCACTTCAGATCTTTGTTCTCTGGAACAGCTTTGCAGAAGGATTAATAAAGTAGAAACAAACTGAGATAAACAAATACGTTTAACAACTCACTTAACAACACATTAAACATACAAGTTACTCTGTTTACAAACAGGACATCTTAGAGGCCTATGCCCTGACAACTAGTAAAACTCCAGACTGCTATAAAGTACTCAAAGATCCTATAAAGACACCTACACAGGCCAAAGAGAGATAAACCTGCCTTCTTACTAAAACAGGATACAATCTCTGTCTACAAAAAACAGATGCTCCAAAGTGAATAGGGACCTATCTCCCTATTCTAAAAATGCATTCACTAACCAGGAGAGACCGTTTGTATTCTAGGGATTCTCCATACAGGAAACCAGAGTTATTGGTTATACATGTAACTATGTAAGATTACAGGCACTACCATTTGAGCCTTTTGCTTTATTTACTGAATCACCTTCAAAATATATACTGTACTTGTTGTACTCGAAGGTAATAAAGGTTTTATAGAAATTCTTTGTACTCTAAATCAGGATGAGAAAGTATTTTGTAAAGTTAACTTTTTTTTTCTCTTTAGGGCAAAGGTGGAGTGCAAAATATCGTCATGACAAAGATTGGTTAAACAAGGGGCACATGTATGGCTTGTCATTTCTGAGTGAAAACTACTCTCATCAGAATGCTAAAAAGATAGTTTCAACACACCAACTGCTGGGTGACGTGTACAGTGTGAAGAAGGTACTACATGGACTGCAGCTTAAAATGGACATATTACAGTAAGTCATAAAACATTTTCTCATTTACTAAAGTTTTAAGGATTTAGTAAATTGTTTTTGATCCTTCTATATTTATGTGCGTGGTGTATTGCAGCATTAATTGTTTTTTTTTTTTACTTCTGATTTTTAAAGAAACAAACACAAACCCAGCTTGCACCTCTGGGCCCGATCTTGGGTGAATTCAGATGAAGATCAGCCTATGGGAGTACATCCAGACTGTATTCATTACCAGGACAGGATAACAGACAATGTATCCCAAAACTCCAACCAGGAAACATACATCACTAGTGAACACAGTTACCAGAAACCCCCAGGAATGGGGCTGGACCACAGGCCTGTCGCTGACCTGCTGAGCTCTGATGGAGAAGAGGGAATGAGACAGGAAGAGGCCCTAGAGCTTGTGACCAATGCAGCAGTACACGCAGTGCATTCTGTGCCAAAAGAAGAAGAGGTATCTTTTGATCTGGATAAGAATTAAGTGATGACATTTTTTTAGATTAGTTACAGATTGTTTATTGAAACAGTGTGATTTGCATGAATAACAAACAAGTTTCCTCCCTGTGTCAGCTGCTTTCCTTGCCAAGTTTCCTGCGTTTAGAAAGTTACAAATGCTGTTAATCCCCCAAATTAAATATTTTTGGAAAGCACATAAGGTTTCAGGTACTTTGCCGAGAACTGTAGTTTATTTCCTTTTTCTGCAAAATCTGCACGTCTCCTTTTCCTTCTGGTCTTTTCTTCCTTTGCTTGTCTTTCCTTGTCAATCATTTTATGCTCTTTATAGTTGTGTTAGTAATATTGTATGGATCATAAAATCATTTGCTACAATTAAGTATTTTATGCGAAATTTTGCCCACAATTGTCTCGCTATTTCTCTAGCCACTTGGTATATCATACAAAAGAATTGTCAGGCAGTTAAAAATGTATTCGCTTGTGGCTGAGGTTTTGCACAATATTTGCAGTTTGTTTTAAATGGTAGGTTTAGGCCTATAATGGTGTAAATGCTAAAGGCAAATATATTTCATTTTTGTATTTTGTTGTGTTTGTTCATAAACAGGAAAGTTCTGCGATCGCTGTGTCAGGCTCTTTGAATGAAAGCAGCCTGGAATCAGCAGAACACGCTAAGAACTGCCTCCAGTGGCAGCTAAACCTCCTAACACATATTGAGGATGTTCAGAATGAGGTTGCAGGCAGAATGGACCTGATTGAAAAGGAACTTGATGGTAAGGGTCTCTTCTGTTTCTTAATGTCAAAATGTTAACGTACTTCACATTAGCAATTGTAATGATGCCATGATTTGTACAACACGTTCACCATTCAGTGGTTTAAATGTTTTATATTTTAAGGTAGAGACTTCCATTAAATAAAAAAAACATAACTGAGGCTTTTTTCCCCATATTAATTTCTCATTTTTTGATAAATAACTGGGGTTGGGCACCGCCTAAGGAAAACGTACCGCAGTACATAACACGGTATATGTGCATGTACCGTGGTATACCGCAAACTATTTTGCATGTTTATATATGGAGACTCTCTCGTCGTTTGATTTCATGATTAGTAAAGCATACTGAGTTATATCCAAAATAAAGTAATGAAAATTGTTGTTTTGTTGTATTATTGGAACCAAAGAACTAGAAATAACACTGAACAGTGTAAGAACAATTTAACAACATGCAGATTTTTGTCAATCATTAAATGATATTTATTGGAGGTATTGGAGGTTAATTTTCCTTAGCAAGATAATGTAAAATTCCAAATATGACAGGTTCTTGTAAGTTGTAACTTTTTTCTTTCTTTACAACATGTAAAGTTGACATTCACAACTTTATAAAACATGTTTAGCATGTTCGATTGCCCTTTGCTATTTCATCTAAAACTTCAAAGAATCCTCAATAATTAAAACATTGCTGAGACAAGACATTTTATATTGACTTAAAGACCTTAAGACAATCTTGCTTGCAAAAAGAAAAAAATCAAAGCATGTCTAATGGTAGTAATGATCAAGACTAGACTTTTTCTCGACTAGAGTTACAGTAGAATCAGAAAAACTAGAATAAACAGCACATTTTCAATGGGTCATTGAAAATAAGTACAGTATGTAACATATACCATTAACAACGTCAATGCTAAACAGCCCTTAATATTACAACAACCATACCCAATGGAATTGTAAAGGAGTATTTGATGATAATTTTCTCTGACTCTCTGTAAAAATCTGTGAATACTCTTAGAAATTAGATTTGCCTCAGCAAGACAGCTCTAAGGAATAACCATGTTTTTCACGAGAAATAAGAAAAATAATCATCAAATACTTCTTTCCACGTCATTTACGAAATCACATTATATTTCTAAACTTACTAGCCAGTGATATGCGGGAAATAACTGTAGTATGACTTTTTTTTTTACTCACCCTTTTAAAGTTAACAACATTTTTATCTTCTTTGAATCAAATTAGATTTTATGAATGTAAACAGTAGAAAATCTTTGTTAAAATCGAAAAAATAAAACCGCTGCCAGAAACTTCCTGAAATTACAAAGCATACCTGTACGGTCTAAAACTTGCCACGGTATGTACCGGATGACTAAAGAACCGTGGTTTACCTGTATACCGGTTTTACCGCGTAGCTCTATACATAACACTGTTTAATTGTGTTGGATAGTTTGGATTACAGCATTTAGAACTTTCTTTACTCACCACTTTTTTATTTTTAATCTGATTTAACAGAAGGCTGTAGGATTATAATCGGCAACTGCTGGCTTTTCCTTCTTGACATTTTTTTTATCTTTATTGTTCTTAGTTTTAGAAAGCTGGCTGGATTTCACTGGGGAGCTGGAACCACCAGATCCTCTTGCAAGACTGCCTCAGCTGAAGCGCAGGATTAAGCAGCTTTTAACAGACCTGGGCAAAGTACAGCAAATGAGCACCTTGTGTTCTGTTTGAGCCCCTCTGCATGGCAGCAAAGAGCAGGACACTACATTGCGACAGGACAGTGAAGCCTTTTGTTTTCTCGCAAGGTGCTTTCAGACAAAAGTCTTTTCCCCCTTTGTCACACTTGAGTTCAAAATACGTTTGATGTGATTCGACATTAGAAAAAAGGGAAAAAAACAAGGTCCATTTGGGTAAACATAAATGATGTAAGTCATGTTTGGTTGAAGGGCAATGTAGCAGTGTAAGAAAGAGAGAGGGATTGTGGGGTAGAGAACGTAAGAACTCAACATGTACTAACACTGGAGGAAATTAGAGCGCTTGGACAATAAGAAGCATAAATTAAAAGGTTCAGAAGTGCCAAAGCAAACTTCGATCAAGAAAAGGCACCGAAGGGTATGGAAGGTAGTCATGTTACTTGTCCACAGGTTCATTTAGTAATAAAAAAAGTCACACAACCTAGTTAGCTAAAGAATGCAGGGCAGACATTTTGATATACACTGAATTCCTTAAGGTAAAATGTAGTTATAAGCTCTACAGTATAAATAAGCCGAAACTGAAAAGTAAAGTGAATGAATAGATGAAGTGCATAACAAATATCCTTAAATAAAAATGAGCATGTAATTGGAAACACACCACAGCTATGAAACACCCTACCAGAGATTTTATGTAAATATAGTGGTTTTGGGCCCTGAGGAAAAAAATTGCAAAATCTGTTGGAAGTTTAAGAGAATGTTGCAAACATTTGACTTCCATTTTCAGGACTGCTATAACTAGTGTGTTATAATTGGATTTGATCAAAGCACTCGGTGCTTTAATTCATTTCGAGTTTAAACTTCGAGCTTTCAAGTTAAGCCTTGGGCATTTGCGTTTGTTTGTTTTTTTTTTTCCAAGTTTTGCGTGAGAAGTATATTTTCCTGCAGTCTCATGCCTTTTGTAATCATGGGGAAGGAAATGTCAACATTGCCCTCTTTTTTAAAGTAGGTTTTATGTATCATTGTGATTCCTTCTTTGTGAATAATTGGTAATCCTGTATTGTGCCAAGTGTAATGAATAGCATAGATGTCCAATGCTACTGTTGTGTCATATGGTTTGGAAAGGTTGGAAATTGTGGAGAAGACAGTGAAGAAGATAAAAGGCTACACCTTTTGATGAATTTCTGAGATGGAGTGTGCTCTTCAAATATATACCTGTTTTTTACACCCAGCTTGCAACTCAAAATACAAGAACAATCCTTCACTTCAATATATGTAAACTGTGAAGCCTAAGAACATCTAGAGCATGCGTGTTCTGTTCTTTGCCATCTGATTTCTACCCCTGAGCCCTTCTAAATTCTTGGTGTTTTAATATTTCATGCTACTACAGCTCTGCTTTACATTAAGTTTACATATTAATTGATAAAGGTTAGTCTTAATACAGCAGTCTACATGCAAGCTGGATGTAAATGTAAACAAATTACAGTGTTGAACATAATGTATATACAGTTTTTTAAACTGTAAAAATCTGCGAGGCATAAACATGAACTTAAATATACTTGAAGAAAATGCCTCAGTTTATTCAGCAGTTCTAGTTATCTGTATAAAGTGCGTTTTAGAACTGGTAGGGTATGAAACTTGAAGTTGCTTTTCTTTACATATACCAACTGTACATTAAGAATTTATTTAAAATAACTACAAACCAGACTGTTCTTTATGTAATTTACTATATGTAAACTGTTCATTAAAAATATTCTGTATATTTAATATGCCTTCAGTTTTTGTTATCTCAATGTCTTATTTTCTGAAGCCTTTTTGTTTCTCCTGTCTGGTGATATCAGAAACCTGCCAGCAAACGTTTATTTTTAAACATTTTGTGTACACTTTTGCCATGATTGCATTACTAAATGTATGGTATTTAACAAAGAGCATGCTGTCATGTAAAGAGACTTGAATATTAGTGATCTTATATTTTGCCAATATACTTTCTTGATATTTCGTCTTCTGGATAGCAGGAAAACTAATAACCATTATAAAAACAGTGAGTACAAATACTTCAATATAAATAGAAAATAGTTAAATTAATAGATAATTTGTATCCATTTTGCACTGTTAAGTATGATGATTCCCCTAAAATTATTCCTGCTAGTATTATTAGTTTTATTAGTTCAGGTGGGTAGCTGCGTCAGCATGCGTAGTCTGTACTAGGCTCACACCTGAAGAAGGCTCCACGGCCGAAACTTTGTGTTTTCTCTCTTCTCTTTTCAGCATGTAATAAACCTATTACTTGTTCCTCATTAGTTTTATTATACCTGCCTTGAAGTTGTGCCACTTACCAGTTCAAGAACGAGAAATAATCGAGGTACATTTTGAGTCATGAAATTTCTCACTGATGATGATCTGATGTGCTTGCACATCAAAAAGTAAATGCTATCTTAATTTCCCTGTCTTTTTCTATGTCGTCTTTTCTTTCCTTTAAGTGTGATTTTGTTATTTCATAAGCCAAATATCTCTATAGAAAAATGTTCTCAAATGTTACCCCTTTTTCCACTTCATGGGTTATGATCATTAAGTGCTCATTGAGTACACTATGTGAGGGCTGTCTAAACAAGTGTAATGCCTAGTCATTCTCTTAAACTGAGTCACTTTGGATTAGTAAGTTTTGAAGTTTTATTTGAGAGGTGCCCACGTGGTAGAAACTGGAAGCTTTTTCATGGCTCAGGATTCTTACGAGTACAGAACTCTCCAAGGTTGGCTGCCCGCACTTCAAAATGGCTCTGTTCGTGACAGGTGTGAGGGGCCTGCATTTGAAGAGCAGACCCAAAATCTGCTACATCATCATGGCTTTGTGTTTTGCAGTCACCGGTGAAGGATGACAGAGCAGGAACAGCTAATGGTATATAAAGCCCAGGTTCACCCATGTTGAAAGCGAGTTCTTGCATCTGGGAAGGGGCAGGAGACAGCAGCCATGGGCTACCTTGGTTCAGCTTTCATATCCCTGTGCTGTTTCAGCCTGTCGCTGAGCAAAAGATCAGGTAATCCACCAGCGTGCTGCACTTGCTACTTGACATAATGGCCTCAATCAAGGCACTGTTTCTTAATGAATGAGAATTATTTCAAACTATAATATTGTGTTATTATGGGTGGCAAGGTGGCGCAGTGGTTAACATTTCTGCCTCACTGTGGTTGGGCCCTGGGTTTAATTCTGGACCTGTGGCGCTGCCTACGTGGAATTTGTATGTTCTCCTCATGTTTGCGTAGGATGCCTCTAGGCATACCCTGTCTTTTGACCATTGCTTGCCAGAATGGGCCCTGGGTCCCACACGACACTGCATTGGATAAAATGGCCAGAAAATGGATGGGTATTATTTTTTTAGACTATGTTCATGTTTGAGTGCTGCTTCATATCGTTGCTCAAATCTTTGTTAATATCACATCATGTAAATTAATGCTGTTATTTCTACAAGGAAAGAATAAGGGCAAGTACCGAGGGCTGAGACACAGGCATTTTGTTATTCTTATTCAAGACGGTTGAACTCCTTTCTTAAAGATATAAACGATTCAATGGGCCCTGGGTTCATGCTGATAACGTGCAAGTTTGCAATGATAGGGAATGTTCAATTGTGGTGTTGTAGAACATTCTGTGTAGGATGTTATGTTTGGCTTTTTTAGAGTATCAGCTGGAATCTCAATCCTTGAGCCAGTGTGAGCTGTTGAGAGACGAGGGATCAGTCCAAGGTGGAGAATTCACCCCTCAGTGCTTAGATGACGGTCGATTCAGGTATGGTATTTTCCCTCTCCTTCTTCCACTGGAGAGGTGAAATTCAGTTCAAGCATGTATAATGTTTCTGAGCCATGTTCCACTTTTTTTTCTGTTTTGTTTCGGCTTTGAACAGATAGAGCCTGATAATCGGATGCTGTCTTTTCAGAGTGAATGCATCCATGCACTTAAAAAAGAGATCATTTTTAATTTTTTAAGACATGCATCATTTGTTTTTAACCTTGAATGTTTGTTGACTTTCAGTACTCTCACGTTATTTACTGTGTATTCAACACCCTGAAAGGGAGTTGTATAAAGAATTGCAAGTGTATTTAGGAGACAATACATACTGTAGTTCAGACCGTGAGTATCTTTAGAGTATCTGTTCTACTTTGCTCACAGACTTGTCATTTAACTTAACTTTAATAGTTATGACAAAAATAGCATTTGTTGAGTCCTTGAGTCCTAAGTGTGTATTTTCATTTCCTCAAAGTGTGCTGTTGCAGAATCTTGTTTGGGGTTTTGACCTGCACCTTTCGAGCTCCAAGTGCCCAGAAAAATACTGACATATAATTCTCTCTCCAACAGTTTAAAGATCAAAGAATTCGAAGAGAAGAAGAAACAATTACAGTGATTGTGAGAAATTCTAGCCATTAAATGCTTTGAACAATAGGCATCCCCAACCCAGCTCGACCTTGAATGAAAGACAAGGAACAGTTCCATTGTGATCAATGAAACAAGTGATTTGCAGGATTAAGAAACCGAGAGATCATTTAGGACTAAAATCTTAGTATTCTTTATTCTTCAATGTCCCTTTAATTGAACAGATTATTTGTTTAATACATCAAGAACTTGCAGGTGTTTGGAAACATGTGACCTACAGTACAAGACTAGATTGGAACTCTCTGGGACCGAAGTTGGCAATCCCCATTCTACAGAGATACCAAATGGAATGATTGTCTTTTATAGATTTTTATTTTAAGTTACGCCATGAACATTTTACACTGAGAGATGTAAACTTGTCACTGTACGTGTTTGTGACACATGAACCATATTTCAGGAATATCCAGTGCAGCAGAGATGGCTTGATGTGCTGGTGTGTGACTGCTAATGGCACTGAAGTTCCTGGGACCAAACGGAATGGCTCCACTATCCACTGTAAGTGTTAATTTCATGGCCAGCTTGCCATAACCCTGACGAGGAAAGGAAGCTTGTGAAAACTGTGCAAGCTTGTGAAAACGAGCTGCTTAAAGGGGCTTCCTCGTCGTTATCGACTGAAAACAGAAGTCAGAAGAATTTTTCTTTTATCTTACTGCATGACTGGATGTGATCCTTCATTTAGTAAAAGTATACTAATTTTGAATTGTCATTATCAAAGTTAAAAATATGCACTAGCTTTAATACAGCTTCAGTCATGCTTATCACTAAATTATATGTAATTTCTCACAGAGCTTTAAAGGTGGCCGTTTTTCAGGAACCTGCAGCACAGATAATTAGTTTCTAAAGGCCAGAGGAAATGGGAGGTAGATTTTGAAGAACATTGTGTCAGAATCTAAGTTGTTGAAAGATTTCCTGAAATGGTTCTTAATTCTAGAGGGAACTGACAGTGAAACAATTATACTCTCCAGGAAATGCTCTTGCACATTTTCATTTCATTCCACTGTGGACAGTGGTTGTGGACAGGACAGATTCGATCGTAGAATCAATCAGTCGATGGAAAACGAATTCCTCTTGCCTCGGATGTTGTCTCTTTCTCCCAGGTTTATCCTCATGTGAGCTCCACAGGCAGCAGGTGCTGCGGAGCGGGGAAGCTGTGTTTCTTCCGCAGTGCTCTGACTCCAGGGAGTACGAGCCTGTTCAGTGTGACAGCACTCGGAGCCAGTGCTGGTGTGTGGACGCGGAAGGCATGGAGATCTACGGCACGCGACAGAATGGGCAACCAGTTCGCTGTGAGTTGGTCACTTATTCTTAATCTTAATCTTAGAATTCCAACCTTTTCACTCCGTCGGCTTTGCACTCACTGGAAGAAGTTTAGGAACATCCTGTTAAAAGATAGGAAATGCATCACTGACTTAAAAAGCTTGTGACTTTCACAATTTTCCCTGGTCAAAATAACAGGTAGAATATGAATCCCAGGATTTTAATAAACGATGATCCTTTTGGATAGGTGGCACGATGGCACAGTGGTTGGCATTGCTGCCTGGCAGAGCTGGGTTCAATTCCCGACACAGGCTGCTATCTGCATGGAGTTAGTATGCTCTCCCTGTGTCTGTGTGGGTTTCCTCCCACAGTCCAAAAACGCAGTGGAAGGTTAATTGGCTTCTGGGAAAATAGGCCCTGGTGTGAGTTAGTGCACATCTTTGTGTATGCCCTGCAAATGGACTGAGGCCCAGTCCAAGGTTTACCCTGGTTTGCGCCTGTTGTTGCTGGGATAGGCTCTGAATCCTCTTAGACCCTGAATTGAAGGAAGTTGTTGGAAAATGTATGGATGATCCTGCTGGATCCAAGGAATAGAACTGGGCTACCAACAAATGCCCAATGTGCTGTTTGATCAAGGGGGCTTATATTGTGGCCCATGAGAATATACAGACAGATATAAACCTCCTGTAAGCTTTTTCCAGCCATAGCAAACCTTTTTGATCTGCTTGCGTTGATAGCTGACTTGATGCTGCAGGACAGTTCAACTGCCGGGGCCCAAAGCGTTCATCAGGGTGAAGACAACTGAAAAGGCTCAATATTATCTAGAAATTCTGAATCGCATCGCCAACCAGCTATGACCGAGATTCCCCCGAGCGGAAGAGACAGATTGTCTCAGTGCCTCCGGCGACGGGGCTGGGATTAGTCAGCGAGGCCTCTCTTGCCTCTCAGCAACTAGAAGACCCTGGTGATTTTCAGGCGAGGAGTGCACCTCTCTTTCAGCTGGTGCTGAAGCTCTTGTACGTCACGGCAGAGCTTGTAGCATGTCGAAAGGTGAATAGGGTGATGGGTGAGCAGGTCAGAGGACCAATATGCATTCTCACACTGTGGCTACAGTGGGCCGAGTTGTAAAGACCCTGCCTTGTGCGCGTAGCCTGCCAGGATAGGCTCCAGCTCCTCCGCGACCCTGTGTAGGATAAAAGGGTTTGATGGGCGGATAACTGGCAGTTTCAAATTAACAAAAATACTATTATAGTAACAAGATATAGTCACCTCAGAATATGTCAACAGGTAATCGTAGAATTATGTCAATAACTGTTTCTTTCGAAGCCATATCACCCTGCAGCTCTCAACTGGCTGCCCACTGAAGCTAAGCAGGGTTGAGCCTGGTCACTACCTGGATGTGAGACCTCCTGGGAAGCTATGGTTGCTGCTTGAAGTGGTGTTTGTTGGACCAGTAGGGGGTGCCCACCCTGCGGTCTGTGTGGGTCCTAATGCCCCGGTATAATGGCGGGAACCCTATACTGTAGTGGGCGCCATCTTTCAGATGAGACGTTAAAACGAGGTCCTGACTCTCAGTGGTCATTAAAGATCCCCGGGCATTTCTTGATAAGAGTAGGGAGTTATCCTGGTGTCTGGGCCAAATTTCCCCCCTCGGCCTTTACCGTGGCCCCCAGATTATCCCCATGTATGATGGGCTTGCACTTGCCCTGCGATAGACTGGCGTCCTGTCAAGGGTGTACCCTGCCTTGCGCTCGTTGCTTGCCAGGTAGGCTCCGGCTTCCTGCGACACCGTGTGGTATAAAGCGTGACGTGACATGTCCTGAAAAACGTGTGTCCTTAGGTCCTGGGGCCTGCGAGGTGAGGGACCGGCGTCTTCTCCATGGTGTCGGTGACAGCTCTCCTCCACAGTGCACCGCCAGTGGCGACTTCCTCCCCGTGCAGTGCAAGTTTATTAACACCACCGACATGACGGTCTTCGACCTCCTTCACACTTTCAACAGGTGAAAATGTTCCTCAGTCAAACAGCACAAGTCTGTCTTATCGAGTATGTGTGGTTCAAGGCTGCGTGACACCTACACCTGCCACCTTTTCTATACCTATTCACACCAGGTTGCATGACAGACTGTTTCCCTCACGAAACCAGCCTGGAGATACTATACTGCGGAGGTAAAATAAAAAAGATATTTTAGCCAAACAGAAACTTTTTAGCTTTTGCTGAAGCAGTGTAGCACAGTGCAGAAATTTGCTTTTTGTGATTCGACTTTCTGTTGCATTTTTAATTAAGTTGCAATCTATGCAAATAGTTATGGCTTATGACTGATTTGAAGACTACATTGCATGCCTATATGGCTACAGATAAAAATAGAAATATAAATATAAATAACCCCATTTTGATCCATGTACATTCATATATTTAAAGAAAAAAGCAAATTAATTTAAAAAGTATCTAATATAATGTATGTATTGTCTCATTTCTACACATTCTTATGTGTTGCTAATCATATTATTTGATTTGCTGGAATATTGTTTTGGAAATAAGTTATTTTAAGAACCCTTGAGGCTGAATATAAGTAAAACGTTTTGACAACCTCCAGATACAATGTTTGCCTCAGTATTTAAAATAGAAATGTATATTTTAATCCAAAATGCCACTGACCAAAGTTGATCATCTGAATCTCATTATTACAGAATTTTTTTTGTCAGTGCAGAATCATTTTTTACCACTAGAGAGCATTGTAGGGTAAGGATTTCCAGAAAGTACAGGGCTCAACTGGTGACCGGGACCAACAAACAATTTTCTTATGGGGGAGACTCAAGTGCCTGGTGTTATATCATGTGGATTAGTCACGGCCTTTCTTTTTTATAGTGTCTTTCTACTTCTGACTTCTATATTTATGTGAAGCGTTGGGGGCTCTGGGTTCAAATCCCGGACCTGAGGTGTTATCTGCGTGGAGTTTGTATGTTCTCCCTGTGTTCTTGTACTTTTTCGCCGAGTGCTCTGTATTTTCTCTGACAGTCCGGAGGAAAAATTTGCGTGTGTGCATGTTGTCCTTCGAAAGACTGGCATTCAGTTCGGGGCAAGCCATGTCTTTTGCTTATATCTTTCTGGGATAAGCTCAGGCTCCTCCATGACCCTGTATTGATTAAAACAATTAGAAGATGGATGGAAGGAGTTATTTATTTTATGTGTTTAAAAGACGGTAGTTAATATCTAAAATAGATGGGGAATATATAACTGTATAGAGTTGAAGATCCTTTGAGTGGCATGGTCAGTGCTGTAGTTAGCACTGCTGCCTCACAGATCCTGGGTCCAGGGTTTGATTCTGGACTGGGGTGCCTTTTGTGCATGGTTGAATGTTTCCCTGTGTTTGTATGAGATTTTACCAGATAATTTTCCCTTAACTTCCAGACTGGGGCTCACTGGGGGAAAGTGTACACACAGTGTCTGTGTATGTGTGTGAGTGCATGCCTTTGTTTGTGACTTGTATTGTAGCCAGTCCAGAGCATAGTACGGACATGAACCCTTATGGTTTACACTCTAAATTGCTATGACCTTTACTAAGAATAAGATGCTCTTCAATAAACAGATCGATATGTATTCCATCATGAATCATCATGATTTCTTCTTTGTGTTTCTACACGAATGCTGCTTGGAATCAAAGTTTATATATAGTAAATTGGCAGTTTAAACCAAGTTTTTCACATTTCGGAGAGTCCTCTTCTGAAGTGTATTAATTGCATTTGCTTAATAAGCTGCATCCTGTGCATGATGTGTTTATAACTTCTACTTCCAAAGTACAGTGTTTACAAAAAAAGTCTGTGGGAAGACCTTTTCGTGACATTATTGTTTGGTCATTTTGTCTGAGATAAACACTTGATGGATGTATTTGAGTGTTTGCTGTCTGGTGAGAGTTCTGGGAATAAAGCATTTCTGCTGCACACAAAGATTCCATGCATACTTGCTGCTACTCTAACAAAATATGTAGCACAGATGATTCTGGTGACATTTTGGAGCATCACAGTGTCAGCATGAAGCTTGCTGATCCATGAGAGTTGGGAGTTTCGTGCGTGCCATTTTCCGGTTTGTGCAATATGGGGAATCCAGATTTCAGATAGCTCTGAAAAAAGGCTCCTGGGCTTCACAGTCTGACCTTCTCTGGCCTAGCCATAGTTATTACCTTCCTCTTTTTCCATGATCGAGAGCAGTCACTGCCCTCTGTATTACACTCAGACAAAAGGCCAAAGCAAACAAGGAAATTGTAGTACTTAATATTACAATCAAACCATGAAAGGAATGAGACGCCCACAAAACACTGAAACATGGAAGCAATTTCTCCTCTGGTTTGGAAAATGATCACTAAAACTCCAGTAGAAAGATAGCAGTTTAATGTCTGTTATTTGTCAACAGATAACCCTCGAAACACCTGGTTATGGAGCACAGGTCGCTGCGCACTGACATGAGCCTATAATTTTGAGTTTTTAATGCACATTTCCTGCTGGGGTTGAACTGTGTTTTCAAAGTATGTGTAACAGTTTAGATAAAGTGGTGATTGATTTACATGCTATTCCTCAGAGGGGAACAATTATAATTATACTGTTCTTGATATAATGGAGTAGGTTATCCTATAAAGTTTTAAAGTATAGCTGAAAGTTAATCAGTGTATGGAGGTTACATGGTCTTTTCCATCTAGGTAAAAAAAATGTTGTTCTATCTTGACAACACAACACACAATGTTCTGCTCATATGATAATGTAAACCTGGATTTAACCATATACTAAGGAGAAACCTGGTTTTCTGGGCTGGTCTATTTTTTAAGATTCTCTTCAATAAAATGAAAGTGGCTAAATAAAGCCATAATGAAGTGAATTAATGTACAACCTTTTGCTGTGCTGTATTTTTTAGGTTTCCAGGAGTGTTTCAGACATTCACTGGGTTTAGAAAAATGTTCCCGGAGATCTCTGGTTACTGTTTCTGTGCTGACAGCAGAGGCAGAGAGCTGGCAAACACAGGTGAGATGGAGGCCTGGGTGTAGTGGCTGAAAGGGTAGCCTCAGTATTCTTACATAGTCCACAAAGAGCATCTTGCTTTTTCCAGTTTTATCTTGACACGTGAAGCACATCCCTGCTCTGGGCCAGGAAAAGTTTAGATGGATTTGACGTATCATCATCAGAGTCACAGGTGTCTTACTGTACAAACGCCATGCAGGCTGGCCAAGGGAAAGTTGTGATCCAGGATTCGAACTATTTACTTCATCTGGAGAAATGGATAAACACATTCAATGTTATTTTATATAGGAAAATTGTGCAAAAACACTGGAGTCGATTCAATTGCCTTTTTTCTGGAAAACTGCATTTTAGAATCCAGGAAGACAATCCTTATATTCAGCCATATGGCTTGGTGAACTATTCCATGGACTGATTGCTCAGAGACAAGTCATATTGTTAAATCTCACCCGGACTGTTCAAAAATCAGTTGGTGGGTTAGGATTGCAGGCAGACTCGGATGTGAAGAGTGGCCTGTTCTGTTTCTAGGCTTTTCCTATACAAATTCTTATAAAATTGGTCACATTAGTAAAAAAGAGGCACAGTGAGCCAAAATAGTTTACGTACACATGCGGATTTCAAGATCATTGCTCCCCAGTTTAGTGCGTTAAATGTTTAAAATATTTGGACATGTTTTTCTTGGTCAGGGTTGGAGCTGCTGTTAGATGAGGTCTATGACACAGCTTTCTCCGGACTGGAGCCAGGGCCGTCCTTCACAAAGTCCAATATGTATCGGATCCTCCAGAGGCGGTTTCTGGGAATCCAGTTAGCCATGAGTGGAAGATTTAGATGTAAGTCCGCGATTTTCTGCAATTTCGGTCTTTAATTTCAGTGTGGGGTCTGCAAGGTCGACATGTACGTTTTGCTGTTGCTGTCATTCAGGCCCAACCCAATGCGAAAGGGAATGGATGTCAGCGACGCGTGCAGGGAATGTTCATGTGCCCTCCTGTGATGAGCGTGGCCATTATGACCCAGTGCAATGCCAAGCAGGAGGTCATTGCTGGTGTGTGGATTCTGCTGGGAAAGAAATCCTGGGAACAAGGATGCAAGGAGGGATCCCTGATTGCAGTAAGCGTGCTTTTGAATTTCTTGGAGTTCATGCCCGTTATCGTTTGCTTTCCACTGGGGCACCTAAATTAATTTTCTACTGTGTTACTACTAGATTACCGCTTCTAACCGGATATTTTCTTCCAGATTAAATCAATCAAGTCAGAGTCATGACATGACTAAGGAAAATCCAATTAATTTCCCAACAAGCATCTTTTAATTTCAAAAATGGCATATTGTCCAAGCAAATGCATTTGTAGCTAGTGGGTTTTTGTAATTTTGTAAAAATCTGTCAGTGAAGTGCCTTCTGCAAAACCTTTCTACTTCACCTCATGATATATCACCTTTCACATTACAGGTGATGGAATCAAAGACTGCCCCTCAGAGAGACGGCAAGCACTCTCAAGACTCTTTTACGGTCCTTCTGGGTACTTCAGCCAGCATAACGTATTCACTGTGAAACAGGCTGATGGAAAACTAAGAGCCAGCTTCCTACGTCCGTGCAACCCAGAAGTTAGGGAACTGTTTGTGAAGTCAGGCCTGCTTCTCACTTTACCTGAGTTAACAAACTCCAGCTTTGGGACTGTGGTTGGAGAAATCTTTCAGGGAATCTTCCCCTCCAGAGAAATGGCTCTCAAAGCCCTAAGATTTGCCACCAACCCCAAAAGACTTCAGGAAAACCTTTTTGGAGGAAAGTTTTTGAAGAATATAAGGTATTACAACTTCACTGGTGCTGTTGGGCCTAGTGGTACTTTCAATTTCAATGAAACATTCCAACAAGTGGGTCTAAAGCAGTTTAGTGGAGACTTTGTCCAACTTGCTAAAATCTTTTCCTCTGAAACTGATTCAAAGCCGTTGTACCTTGATCAGAAAATAATAGACAGCTTTGGGAGGAATGTAAATTTGAAGGACAACCAAAATTTAGTTGAGCTTGTTGGGATGATTCTAGAGAATGAGCAGTTTGTAACTACACTACGAGATATCATCTCATTTTTGAGAGTAGAGGACAGTGAAGATTTCAGCAGCTTTTTTCAGGCTCTTCTCCAGAATACAGAACCTGAAGTTTGTGAAAGAGACTCTTCGGTTTTATTTGTACCACAGTGTACCAAACGTGGACAGTATGAGGAAGTCCAGTGCCTTGGTTCTACATGTTGGTGTGTGGACCCTCAGGGTAAAGAAATACCAGGGTCCCGCTCTGAAGGACTAAAGCCCAAGTGTCCTTCCAAATGTGAGAAAGAGCGCCAATCAGCCATTTTAGTAAAAGCAAGCCAGTCTGCAGGATCAGAGTTATTTATCCCAAAATGTGAGGCTGATGGGAGCTTCATGCCACTCCAGTGTTCAGGCAGGACCTGCTCCTGTATGGACAGTGCTGGAATGAAAATTACTAGAACAACATTAGGCCAGCCTATACAATGTAAGTATAATGTGTCTTCAGCTTCTCCTTTATTGAGGTGGCTCAGTTTCTGAGAATGAATCTATGAATCATAAAAGGATCTGTTTTTTCACTTTCTCCCTACAGAGTTCACAGTAATTTATTGCCCTGATCCTGACTGTTAGGTCATTCGCAGCATTTAAACTTCCCAGCGCAGTTCAAATCTAGGGCTTTTAAAATAACAGCAGGCATAAATCTAAGTTATAAAGTGTCAGTTCTGTTCACTGTTAAGAGAAACCAAACCCTTTTCGAAACTGTTCATTTTTACTCCAACTGCTCTATAATACTTAGTTATCTTGTGTGGCCATTTTGTATCTCACTTCAATTCTGTAAACATATGCATTTTCACACCAGATGGAAACTATTTCAGAGCTCAAAACAGGGCCAAAACATCACACGATAAAGACTTAAATATTAATCTTTGCTGCCAACAGATGCATTTCAGATGGTCTTTTCTTAAACGTCTCTTTTAATATGTTGTACATTATTCAGGGCTGTTTGAAACATCCTGTAAAAATGCTGAAAATGTTTAATTCTAATAAGTTACATTACAACCACTGATAAAATATTTAACAGAACAGGAGCCCTTTCCAAAACGTTGAAGATTTGTTAATCGTTCTGAGAGAAAAGGCAAGTAAAAAACTATTTCAACATCTTTCTATTTTGGTTTAACACTGCTTAGACAAATTGGTTGTGTCATAAAGGTATCTCGAGTTGCAAATATGGGCCATAGATATGGTCTCCCTCAGACGCTCTAAAACAAAACTGACCCGAATACTGAACTGAGTTCCTCTTATTTCGTAGGTCCATCTGTGTGTCAATTAGCGGGAGCTCAGAAGTTTTTAAGCACAGTTCAGTCTCTCCTATCCAGTCCCACCACAGCACCACAGCTGTCTGATGTCTACATTCCCCAGTGCAATGCAGATGGACGCTGGCGTGAAGTTCAGTGTGATGGACCTCCCGAGCAAGTCTTTGAGTTTTATCAAGAGTGGATTAAGCAGAATAACGCAGGGGAAGAGCTATCTGTCCTAGATGTGGTCAACATAATGAAGGGGTATCAGAAGCTTCCAGAGGCCTTAGCATCTTTCAGAGGTTTTGTGAAAGAGCTGTACAGTGCTGGACACCAGAAGGTCTTCCCAGTTCTTTCCAGATATGCCTCTTTTAGTGATGTGCCCGAACAGATTTTGGAAGGCAGTAGGAATTCTATCTCTGGCAGCTCGGTATTGCTCAATCCACTCACTCTGTGGCAGTTGCTCCATGGGAATTCTACCCAGTACCCAGGCCAGTACTCTGACTTCAGCTCACCTCTGGGGCACTTTGAACTCCGACGGTGTTGGTGTGTCAATAAGAATGGAGAAATGATCATGGACACCAAGGTGGGCATCAATGAGATTCCGACATGTAAGTATATGTCTACAGCAGCCGATGACAGATGGTAAAGGGGCTTGTGTACCTGTTTATGTACACTTATTCTTCTCTTAACGGTTTATTAGGCATACAAAAGAGCGGTACTTTCTAAGGCATAAAGGAGGACTTGATAAGCCCAAGTGTATAATGTGGATGTGTGTTTTTTAAATTTACATGACATTTTATAATCTTCATACATTATTGAATTTTGGTCTAAACAATAATGACACAATTATATGGTGTTATCAGTTACTTCACTGCAAGCATATTTACAATCATTCACACATATGTACAATTGGTAAATCCACTGCCATTTTGTGGTCTAAAATCTGAAAAAAATAACATTCTAGTTAAAAAAAATAACTAGAATGTTATATAAATGAATTACCAGATGATTGTAGACTTGCAGTTCCACATTTAAAACTTTGTTAAATATAATATATCAATTGCAAAAGGCATTGCCAGTCATAGCTCAGCATGCTATTTAAAGACACTTCTCATTGGGCATTTGCATCAAATTGAAATATAAAGAGGACACAGGTAGGGTAGTATTCTAAAGGAACTTCCATATCACATACATTATCTTTCATGCAAGAGTTACCAGTAAATTGACAGCTTTGCTTTTGAGAGAATATACAGAATCTTCATATAATGTTCGTTAGTTTTGAGGAGATGTTTCAGTGGGGTCTGTCTTTTATATCTGTTACCTTACATTAGCTGTATATGCTCACCAGAGATGTTCACTGTTGTGATATGATCTCATAGACTCTATTAATCTGCTTCTGAGTTTGCTTTTATTGGAGTATGGTTAGACTAAAGTAAAAGTCACTGTGTATACAGTATAATGCATTTGACAACAACTCGATTCTATTCTGAAGTTAACAACCTTCAAATAGCTTTGTTGTTTTTGGTTAATCAAATATTGCTATGGATGACATTCCTATCATGGTGTTGTTACTTTTTTACATACATGAAAGCATTTTAATTAGCATGCTAATCATATATGCAATCTACACATGCTGCGATGAATTCCAGCCGTGCTGTTCCTCTCTGTGTTGGCGTACTGTATGTTCACGTGACCGGATGAGTGATTTTTCAGTTGGCTCTGTCTTTTCCAGGTCCAGGACCCTGTAGTGTGGTGAACCAACAGGTGGCCCGGTTTCTACAGGAGGCGGAGGACATCATCACCGATTCCAACAACTCTCGCATCCCCTTTGGCTTCAGCTTCCTGCAGGCAAAGGGCCTGCAGCTGACTGAGCGAGAACTTCTCATCAACCCAGACTCCTTCGAGTCAAGCCTGAACTTCAACGAGAAGCTGCTGAGTAACAGTGACTCTGCACTGCGGCTGGCCGTGCACACAAGTATGTCAGAATGTTTCCTCTTTCTTGCTACTTACTTGGTTTGGCAACGTTCCTCAGGAGCACTTGGCCTAATCCCACAAAAACGTTCAGTGTCTACTTTCATCACTCTTGGTGTCTTCCAGTCCACCATGGTGTCCAAGAAGGAAACAAGGTTTGCACACGCAATACTTCTTTCTAAGGATTTCCACCCAGTCTTCCTCATACCAGCTTTAACTCATGAACGCATCAGAAAATAATATCGTATAAAAATGACTTAAGTCTCTTAATAGCGATGATTTGTATATATACAGATACATTGAACTTCTGTCTTGAGTTCCCATTCATAAGTATTTAATATACAAGCATTTTTTATCTAATTCATGAGGCTTTTAAGGTCAGTCACATTTCAGGTTAGGCCTCCATTACATCTGGGCGTAAAAAAATTCTCTACATGTTATTAAAGATGTTATAAAGAGTTACAAAATATTGCTCAGCTCTAATCCTCTGGTTAAAGCTGTGGCCCAGCTGTGATTACTAATGTAAATAATCTACAGGAGGGTTTTATTTATTATTCTATTTGAGTCTAAAACTTTAAGAATGCAGTTAATTACAAAACATTTATAAGTGCAATCCCTAAATTTTAGGGGTTTTGTTTTTGATGTAATTGAAATATCCATCTTGGTGCTTATTATTTCTGTCTGCTAGCAACGTTCCTCTCCCGTCTTTTCCATAAAGCATTTAGACAGTTTTTTCCATCTTTGAAAGGAGTTGGTATGGAGACAGGAATATCTTTGTAAACATCTGCTACTTATTTTGTACTATAAAATGTTCTCATCTCAGATAATATTTAAAATATAATTAAAATCCCTTTTGAACTGGGGGGAGTTTCTTGCTGTTTTATGAAGTTAATGATTTTTTGGGTCAATTTCATGTCAGCAATGTTAGTACCCCTTGACGTTTGAAACCTGAGAATTTGTAAGGTTTCTACCTTGAAATACAAACCTTCAAGTACAATCCTATCATATGATCCACAGCATTGCAGTTCTACTGGAGGACTCATTTTAGTTCTGCGTTGAACCAGAGAGATGGGTTCCTTCTTGGTTATCAGCCTTACAGGCCTCAGTGTGATGCCCATGGTCAATGGCAACCTAGTCAGTGTTACTTCAGTACAGGTGAGTGGCTTAAAGCTGAACATTTTCACTGTGCTCTTGAACTCTGCAGCCTCTAGCACAACATTCTCAAGAAAACCCTTCGCATTTCATTTTGCTTCTTGTTAAGTCATTACAAGTTTCTAAAATTGTCTTGCTCTTTGGAAAAAGTGTGTCTAACAGATCACTTGGACTGAAAGTTTTGAACTCCACGCACATTTATTAATGGCAGATTCTGCAGGAGAAAAAATGGGCACGCCAGCCAACATTTTGGCAGTGTATGCCATTCTTTTTTTAACCAACAGTTCCAGACGTCAAAGATTGATTTTTGATGAAAGTGACTGTTGTGTGTTGATAATTTTCTGAATTGTCTGAATTTTTCACAGTTTCTGAAATCATCTAACACATCAGGGCTTTATAACATATGACCTCCCTAAATCCACATATTCATTCAATTAGTGAATTAATTTCTCAGTTCTCTACTGATTTGCTATCTAGTTGGGCTGCTGGTCACGGAGATAAGTTCCTTTGTATATGTGAAGCACTTTGGGATTCTTTGTGATGAGAAGCTGCATATTGTAAGTCATTGATAATTTTGGTGTCTACACCTTTGATTCATCAATGGGGAATCCAAGTTGTAAATATTACAGCACCAGACCTCACTCTGTCCCGACTCAGTGCTTCTCCTATGCTTATCTGCTCCTGTGTTCTCTTTTGAAGTGTCACTTTTAAATATGTTATGGGTCACACAAGCTTAACAGGGCAGTTCAGAAAAAAATCTGGTCTCACAAAAACATCTGGGAGGCGGGCTTATCTCAGCAGATGGTCCAAAGCAGCGAGCAGATCTCGCTATCCGGCAATTCAGATAACATCAGGTGGGGAGCGTCTCTCACTTCTTCAGATAAGGGGCATTGTAAAAATAACCAGCCTGTACATCCAGACCTACCACTGCTGATGTTATGGGCAAAATGCAGTCACTTCATGAACGGGCAAAAGCCTGAATCATAGGTTACTGTATGTTGTCTAACTTTGTATTATACCTTGGCATAATAATAATTTTAATTTTAGAATGCACATATCAGGAACAGATATGTTAGCCTGCATTTGAATACTTGGACATTTGTAATCCAGTCAGTCCTCTGTCTGCCAGCCATGGTTTCTCTTTTTCCCCTTATATAACATCTTAGATTCAAGGTGTTATTTCATTTTAATTGGATCATATTGTTTACGTTAGTGTTTATTTATGAATAACATACTCAATATACTGGAGTTCTCCAATGCTGACTAAGAAGAGTGTTGGAGTAAGAACTGCTTGTAGTCTAGTAGTCTGGTGTGGTAGTGGAGACAGTACAGTACCTTTTTGTATCAGCCGATCAAATGTATTATTGCATTATTGCAAACAGTAATGTGTGTAGATCACACACAATCTTTATTTCAGACTGTTAATATATTCCTTCTGGCCACAGGCATGGATTATTTTAAATTTAGATGAATTAAGTATTGTGTGTATTTGACAGGACAGTGCTGGTGTGTGGATGAAGAAGGGAGCTACATTCCAGGGTCTTTGACCAGCAGATCCATTCAGCTGCCACAGTGTATGTATCATATTTTGTTTGCTTAATTGTTAACAATTTAGATATCCCATGTAATTTGTGCCCATTCATTCCTGCAATTGGATGATCTAATCCCAGAACCTTTAAAATAAAAGTCATGGAAAAACTAAACCATGTCTACCAGCACAGATCCGATATCCTCCAATGACAGTAATCTAGCTTTCTCTTAGATGCTTTTGTCCCTTTTTGGCAGACATTTTGTAATTTTAAATAACAACAACCTGGTTTATGAGCGGAAGACAAATGAGTGGCCATTGTCTAAAATAACATTTTATCTTTCTGAAGTCATTTTGGACATCTCAGTAATGGGGATGTTTGATATTGTATTTTTTGGGAGGTAACTGCATCTACAGAAGCTTTATATCTCTTGCTTTTACACCTTGAGCTCCAAGTTATATATTTAATTTTACAACCTGGCTACTCAGGTGTGGAATGGACTACTGAAACAATTTATGCATATCTCTTTTATGCAGCTTCATTGTTTGACCGCACTTCTGTCGGTGTTAGATCCGTTCTCAGGTGTTGGGTACTCCACACCTCCCACAGACACTGACTTCATCATTCATTGTCAAGGACCTGGTGTTGAAGAACATTCCCTAAGTGTCTTAGTCTCTGGATTGTCTTTGATTAATCACTAGAAATACTTCTCAGTGTTCTTCGGTATCGTTCTGCAAGAAGTGGTAACACCTCGTCTAACAATGATACGTGTGCTTTCTTTCAGGTGGAACCTTGTGCCAGAGATCTCACACTAGAGCTGTGGTTTCTAACTGGAAACTTTCAGCCACTGACCCTAGTGCCATGGCAACCACAGTAATCAACCCCTCTTGTCAGAAGGTTTGACAATATTTGAATTTTCAAGAAGACCTTCCTTAGATTGATAGACTTGAGCTGAGGCTAACACTAACTGACACTACCCTTAATAATGTTTGTGTTTTATTAGCTTTTAGCCCTTCGTATTCTTCTGTTAATAATCCCCATATGTGGTGTTTTTGTCTGTTTGGAAACTGTGTTTCCAGAATGGGGAATTTACCATCCTGCAGAATGGAGACAGAGAAAATGGATCTGTTTGGTGTGTCAACCCACTTACAGGAAAACCAATTCAGCCTGCTGCCCAGAACAAGGCTGGAAGCCCTCAGTGTAAGAAATTCTGTTTCCCCTTCCCTGCTGCACACCATCTTTTGGTTTTTGTGTATAAATTAATTAACAGCTTTTCCCCTAATTCTATCAGCAAGCAATAGACTTACTGTAACCTCAGTTATCCTGAGTTATATTTCTTAGAATAGAGTTTTGCAACCATAAAGGTTTTTTTTATTATTTGTTTTTATAGGAACCTCCAATGTTTGTTACTATTGCTCTTTTCCTTCCTTTTTACCCCTCACACTCCTTGACGATTTGTTTTTGGTTTACCTAGGCCCCGGTTGGTGTGAAATGCTGAAGAGTCAGGTGCTCAGAAGAGACATTGGGACTGGCTATGTCCCTGAATGCCAGGAGGAGGGACAGCTTTTCTCTTCTGTGCAATGTGACCAGAGCAGCTGCTGGTGTGTCTTTCAGAATGGACAGGAGGCTCCTGGGACAAGACTCAGACAAGTCTCTGGGCAGACTCCTAAATGCGACAGTAGGTTTTCGTTAAATGTCTAGTGTAGGTTTTTAGATGAGGGATTAATAAAATCTCTAACATCCTGCATTCCTAATGTTTTAAGATGCAGTATCATCTAGAAGACTACTGCCGAAGATCAGGTTTCAGTGACCTGCACATGCATTCATTTGACATGTCAAGAAAATATTTCATATTTTATGACCATTATGCAAAGATTGTACACTTACAGCAAACGGTGCTCTTTGAAGTCAGAACATTGCACATTTTGTTGGATGGCCATTATTGTCCTTACCAGTCAGTCTTATTTGTGCTATGAGCCTGCAAAAACAAACTACATTTTCACTTAACATACATTAATTTACATTAAGTGTACTTTACTGATACACCAAAGCAGCGCAAAGCTTCCACATAAAATAAAATATATAACTTGTTAATACAGTATTACTACACACTCTTGCCTTCTTAAATTTTAACATCGGTAACTCATTTTAACGCTAATGATACTATTGGAGGAAAATGCCGTTTCCACAGCCCAGACGAACGTTCTGTGTTTCAGCTCCTCAGTGCCCACTACCTTTTGGGGTGCCTGGCATCAACAACGGTGCTGTCTTTTGCAAGGATACTCTTGAGAATGGACAGAGAAGGCAGCAGTGCCAGTTGACCTGCCACCAAGGTTACCAGAACACACTTCCTGAGAGCCGTTTCCTCTGCGATGTGGTGACCAGTAACTGGCTTTCAGCACAACCACTTCCTGATGCCTGTCAAAGTAAAATTTCTACTTTTTTTGTTTCTTCACACTCTTCCTGTCCACTGTCAGCTAACAGTAGTTACATTTTAGACCGAGTGCAGTTTTCCACCTCTATATATATTTATAAACTGGAAAATGCCTTGGTAGACTCAGTTTACTATGTCATGAACTTCTTGCACATTGATACTAATTTAATTAATCATTTTATTAATATCAATAAATAAAATTCTTTTGACTGGCACATTCTGTTTTTAAAACAATGTTAATCTAGTGATTACGCACAATTTAAGAAAAAACAGAAGTGTGCATACAGAATTAAGATGAAAAAAAGCTCTCTAGCCAGAATAGTAACTTGCAATAATTCTAACTATCTGATATCTGTGCTATCTTTGTGCTCTGTTAGTGCTTTTTTTGATCACTTCCAGTTTGTAAAGGCATTCATCATTTTGTTACTGCTTAACACATTTCCATCACTGAATGTCGTGAAAAGACTTAAGCAACAAGGATCCTTGGTGGAAGGGGGATTGTTAAATTCAACAAATGACAAGTCAAGAGATACTGTACCTTTCCCATAAGAGGGTTACAGAAATTATGACTTAATGCATTCACCCAATTAATATGTCTGGAATGCAGGGTTCTGTGCAGAATGTTTTCCGACAGGTCTGAAGCAAAGGGAGATCTATGATGCATGGTGTAGTCAGACTGCCAGAAACATCCAGTTCCAGTTGCTGCATTGCAATGTTTTGGCTCTGAAGCTCTTAGCTATATTATTCCTTGTTGACATCGCAGGGATAGCTACATCACTCAACTGCCGAGTATAAGGTATTCTTTTGCATTAATATCAATGCGTTGTGAGGAAAGGGAGAAGAGCATTGTAATTAAGACATGATTTATAGGCACTTATACAGTATATAACAAACAAAGTAAACAACCACTTTCCTGCTGTCTTAAGGCATCTGAAACTTGTAGCAAAATGCAGGTTTTGTGGCATAAGCAAGTGTCGCAGTTGAGACTGGGTACATTCCACTGTTAAGGGTTTGTGAGCATTGTTCAGATAGATTTCTTTTCTGCTGTGAAAAGATTAAATTTGAGATTTGGAAAGCTATAGTCTGCCATTTTAGGACCTTTTTATATTTTCTTGAAACAGGTTTCAGACTAATTGTTGACATCAGGCGTTTGAAATGACCCTAAAAAGCATGCTTTCTGCTGCACCTTTCCGATATGTGTAAATTATTCTTCACTGCCCTTTGTTATATCCCCATCAAACAACGAGCTTCTTCTGGAGCAACTATACTGGCTGATAGCCTAGAACTTCAAAACAGATTCCTTGCAGGAGCAAGCTCAATAAACAGTAGTACTTACTGTAAGTCTTCACGAACAAGCCAGCTGGGCACACAAAGAATGTTTTCTGAACTGCAACTTTAAATGGCAAAAGAATTGCTGCACTCTTGATCACCTTTGAATTGTTATAAATTCATAAAGAACCTAGTAACATAGGATGAGCTCACTTCTTGTGGTTTTCTCTGTTTCATAGTCATCCTTACATTCCCTTGAATTCCACCTGAGTTTTTTCAAAACCAGAATGACAGTTTTTCTCCCGAGGACGAAGTCTAATTCTTCTTTTTGCTGCTTTGCGGTAAAAACTTCAGCAAGAAAGGAGGATTGATAGTAAAAAGGCATTTTTTTCCCACTTAAATATGAATATTAGAAACCAAGAAGACGGGGATTATTTTGAGTATTTTGTGTCTGCTTTTCCTAGGCCTCTATTTATTAGGTATACTATCCTGTTTTTTCCATTATAGTCTATGGGATTATGATCTGATGATGTAGTCCCTGTGGTTTCTCAACAAAGTCATAATTTCCTGTAAACATGGACCTTGACCATCAGCCCTTTCTTCCACATCACAAAGATGTGCTGTTCTGGCAAAGTGAGTCATTGGCATCCTTACCAAATCCCTTTCTTTCTTCCAATTTGCTGTCTAGAGAACTACGTTGATATAAGAGGTTGTTGAATCAGGTGCTTTTCACTACAGACACGTCTTTGTTGTAAGAGCTGAAACATTGCTGTTTCAGAGCCCCAGGTGTTCCAGGCGGTCGAGGCACACACCACTTTCCAGCTCTCCCTGGCTGAGGGGAAGAATACATGCAGAGCAGTGCGGTCTCCCTTTCAGTCCTCTCTCCTCCAGCATCTGAGGGGCCGAGGCCTGTGCAGCCTCCAGGTAACTCCAGGGAGCTTCATGATGTTTTTGTCCTGATTTTCCAGAGCAGCGTGAAAGGCCCTCTCCACAATCTCCTGGGAGCCCATACGCGTTTTTCTTGTTCCCTGTGAAAAAGACTGATGGTTTAAAAGGAATGTTCAAAATGTTTAAGTCCAAAACGAGGACAAAATTCAAATGAAGAGGTTAATTGGGGTTAGCTGCGTTGCTCAGTACGCAGCTGAAACACAAACCAACAGGAATGTGGGACTCCAGAGCAAGGACATGAAACTCACACTTGAGAAAGGGAATATAAAGGAAGATTATAGGAGAAGAATGAAAGTCAGAAGACATTAAACTGTAGAGCACTGAGATCTGTTAGAAAGAAAGATCCCCCTCCTGTCCTTACTAGGTGTAAGTTCAATAAGGAGCACAGCTATGCAAGCAAGATTTAAAGCCAGTATTATCCTCCTAGCTCCTGGTAATGTAGATAACACATTTCCTACCCTCCAAGTGGCTTTGTGCTCTATTTACAAGGTTTGACATCTCTCCAGGAAGGGTATACAGGCAGCATGTACTCAATCTTGAGAACAACACCACAGGGAAATTAAGATTTTTTTCACAGTTGAATTGTTTGGCGTTGTAGCACAACTTCTCTGGGTTCTGTGAAAAAAGAAAAACATTCCCTTTTTCACTAAACCCCCACCCAAAAATGCATCTACTGTATCACATTTTAAAGGTTTTTGACAGTGTATTGGTACAAATCTTAGAATGTGGCATTATACATGACAGATGAGTATTTAACAGGAGAAAAAAAATGGTAAATTGCATAAGTCTGTGGACCTTGTCTTTTTCAGATGAACTCCATTGGAAAGTCAGTCTCTGTTTCAGTCTGTGATGAATCAACTGTAACCTTGGAATGTTTGAGTGCAAAGCGAATGAGAGCAAACATCACATGGAAAGCACAGCTGGGAGACATCCCCACTGAGGCACTCCCTGATTTGCATGACATTGGTAAGAAACAAAACCTGAAGAAAATATAGAAGATGAGATTGGATAAGCTATGATTCTTCAGATTCAGGGATAACTGTGGTCCTTAACCTTCGCTCCAGACGGTACCCCTTTGACTCTCAAAATATATTCTCCCACCCTTGATCAGACATCATTGAAGTAGGTCTGTTATTTCAACCATAAGATACTTGTACTGTATATCAAAGCCATGGAATGAAAGAAAATTCCATATTGATTTCACAGTAAAACTAAGAATGCTTGAAATTATATATTCATTTTAATTTCGTGGTAAAATTAAGTAGTTAATTTTAATGAAATACAAACCAGTTGTACTCATGTGCCAGGCCTTCATTTTATGATGGTTTACCTTCTAAAAAACTTTGGCATGCCTTGTACCCCCAGAAAGGGCATCTCACACCCCCAGCAGGATGCATGCATCCCCTCTTTACAACAAAAGCATTTAGCATTCCTTGTTTTTGTTTGACAAAAAGTGATCAGTCTCTTACAAATGCCCCAATCAGCGGGATCCTTTGTTTGGTGAAATTTAGCCGAGGTCCTGTCCCGTTGATTAAGTAAGTGTATGAAATCTGAGCTTATCCGAGGCAAATGTCTATCTTTGACTTTAACTGTTTTCCAAGGTGCATATGTGTCACAAACCATTGTAAATTCCGTGTAGAGATACTGTAGTCCTATGACTCTTGGACTGTTGGTATCAACCGAAATGTTTCCCAAATCACATTAACAAATCTCGAATGAAAGCCTCAACATTTATATTTTAACTGTCTAATTATAATTTCTTTGCAGGTGCTTAGGTGCTTAATTTTTTAGACAATATACGGTAAAATGATCACTGAAGCAATCTGTAAGGATTCCAGATTTTTCAGTCCTATCAGGTCATGTCACTAATATCCAGACGAGTAAAGTACCATTTTGGGGCATTGAATTGATTCTATTTGGTGTTTTTATGAGTTGGGTAAAATTAAGACCCTACAATCAATTTCTATCTTTAGTTGAAGATTTATTTAGCCAATCTCTATTAAAATCCTCCAAAATAATCAATGTGGTCAATGAGCCTTTTGAAAATATAGCAGAGGTATAGTTAATAACAGTAGTTAATAATAATAAGAATTCCTTACACTTCTATAGAGCTTTTGTGGAAACTCCATTCAAAGCATTTTACAGGTAATAGGGACTCCCCTCCAACACCACCAATGTGCAGCCCCACCTGGATGATGCAACGGCCGCCATAGTGTACCAGTGAGCTCTCCACACACCATCAGTGGGGAGGAGAACAGAGAGATGGAGAGAT